GGGCCGCGTTTTCCGGCAGGGCGATAAATTATGTCGTTTTGTTTCTCCTCGACATTTTATGCTTGCTTGCCACAAAATTTGGGGAATCCGAGCTTTGATTTTATATTTGTTGGATGTGTTTTTGACGTGTAATGGAGTGGGGTTTTATTGGCGCGTGCACGGGTATAGTATAGTACTAAATGTTTTTGAAATTTTGATTGAGTTTTTGTTTTTTTATTAGGTACCGACATAAAGAACCCGCCATACTTTGCCTCTAATTTCCTGTAAAAAATGGCGGGTTCATTATGTCGGCACCTAATATTAACATTTTGTTCCTTTGTCAGCTTATCGTTTCAACAAAAGCTTTGGTGTAGCCAACAATTTGTTCAAGCCTAAACACAATTTTAAGCTTATTTTAGCCTAACCTCATGTTGTGGTTAAATGAATTAGCCTAAAATTGAGCTGTGTTTATATGAAAGTAGAATTTCATGTTTAAGCGAGTAATAGCGTAGTATGTTTTTATACGTGTTTAGATGTGTTGTGGGAGTGATATAGGTCGTAAAAGAGTCAAATGGAGATTACAGACAGATTGAGGTCGGTTAGGTATGTTAAAGGGCATGTGTGGTATGCTAAAGTTTTGAAGTTATGTTTTTTTTTCAACTTGAAATTGTTTTTAAATTTTATTTTTAAAACAAAAAATTATGGCTTAGGCTTAGGCTTAGACTTAGACTTAGGCTTAGGCTTAGGCTTAGGCTTAGGCTTAGGCTTAGGCTTAGGCTTAGGCTTAGGCTTAGACTTAGGTTTAGGGTTAGGCTTAGGCTTTGATTTGGTCTTAGGCTTAAGCTTACTGTTAGATGCATCATCCATACCTAAATATTTTTGTATTTTTTAAAAAACAAACAAATTTCCTTAGGACATTGAACTTTCTGAAATGTAAAAATTATTTTCGACTTGTCTTACTACTACAATATCAAACCGATTTTTATTAGAATATTTAAATTCTTTAAAAAGAAAAACTTCCAAAAGCTGTACGAAAGTTGTGTTATCAAAACATTTCCCTTTCGTATTTAAATTGGATATCCGAAATCATAACCAAGCGCGCTCAAATACCGTGTCAGAATCCAATTTATCCGGGGATTTGTTGCGTTCGGCCTTCTTCTTTTTTTGTGTTTCCGGGCGGTTTTATCTATAATTTTTTTGGGGGGAGGAATAGTGAGATGGACGATCGTTAGCCACAACTCTCTTTGCGAAATACCGCGCTCATTAATGGGATTTGGGTGATGTACTGGGGTTGGAAAGATGACTGTTCTGTTTCTGAAAGTGGTTTTTGATCTTTAGGTTTGGGCTTAGGCCTAGGCTTAGGCTTGGCTTAGGGTTAGGATTAGGCTTACGTTTAAGCCCAGGCTTACGCTTAGGCTTACGCTTAGGCTTATGATCAGGCTTATGTCCGGGCATACGCTCAGGTTTACGCTTAGGCTTATGATCAAGCTTGTGTTCAGGCGTACGGTCAGTCTTAGGCTTTGACTTGGTCTTAGGCTGAAGATTAAGTTTAGGTTTATCACCTTTTTTTTAAATATTTTTTTTATTTTTCAAAAGACAAACAAATGTCTTTAGGACATTGAATTCTCCCCTTGCCTCTTTGAACTTTTTAATCACTTAAAAGTCTGGTTGGCCACAAAAACCTCTTGGGTCGAAATCTAATTTTTGCGACCACAAAAAGGGGGAGAAGTGTCCTTGCAGTCATTTATTTCGAAGACGTCAAAAACGACTTTTGGGTCAGCGGATGTTCCAAAAAGTTTCGATTAGAAAAGGGCGGATTTGCCTTATTTTCGGCCGAAAATTTAAATTGTTGGAGGTTTTTTTAATTTTATAAAAGGTTTACTTTAGGCTTAGGCTTAGGCTGAGGCTTAGGCTTAGGCTTAGGCTTAGGCTTAATCTTAGGCTTAGGCTTAATCTTAGGCTTAGGCTTAATCTTAGGCTTAAACTTAGGCTTAGACTTAGGCTTAGGTTTAAAATTTTAATTTTGAATACGTTGCGATTACATTTCTACTTACTTTTTGACCAAAATCTTTTTTTTAGAAAACCTTACAAGCTCTTAAAAATCTTATTTCAAGTTTCGCCTGCTATGATTTTACCGTCTTCTGGAATGCCATTAATTCATCTTTTGTATTCGGAATGGGGGAGAAAAACTGCGCTCTTGCCAGGATCGTCTCTAATTTTATTCTAAAGGTTTTTTGTACAGCCGAAAAGGTGGTAATGTGAATAAGGGGTAGCGGTAAAGTTTTTTGACTGCTTAAGTTCTTTTAAAGTTTTACGGTTTGTAGAGGGGGAGGGGGGGGAGGGAGGGGAGAGTAGGGTAGGGAGAAGTAGAGTGGGATAGGGTAGCGAGGAGTAGTGTTGGGTAGGGTAGTGAGAATTAGTGTTGGATATGGTAGGGAGTAGTAGGGTGGGGTATTCTCAAATTTCCACACTGTTATGAAAATGTGAATCATTGTGTCACATCGTCATTAATTCTTCTGAAGCTTCGCACAATATTGAAGCCACCTGTTTAAAATTTGCGGCTGAAATTATTCACTGGGGAGTGTTTTCATTGCCGATTCCAAAATAATGTCTTGGAATTCTTGAATAATAATTTTGTACACAATGCGGTTCAATTCGAAATTTCGTAGTTTATTGTGGTGGGGGAGGGGCTATGGCTTGTTTTTTTTTGTGTTTAGGCTTATTTCTTAACAATTTTGTAATATTTTTTTAATAATAATTCTGCGCCTTATTCCCACAAATTTGCTTTGAGAAGGGGCACATAATTAAGTGAACAACCTCATATGAAGCTGTGACATATTTTATTAGGTGCCGACATAAAGAACCCGCCATTTTTTACCGGAAATTACAGGGAAAGTATGGCGGGTTCTTTATGTCGGCACCTAATACTATAAATCTGTGTTCTTATTTGCCATACAAAGTATATATTTTATACACAAAATAGCCCAAACCATATTATTTTCAAATATTTTTTGATATTAAGCTGCTTAAAATGTCCGAAAAACTGCTGAACGTCAACAACAACACAACATATTCATTGTTATTCAGATGCGGCTTTGATCCGTTGTCTCCGTGTTTTTTCGACCGGCTTCTTTTGTCTTTCGACCGTTTTTACACTCAAATGATTATGTTATTGTAGGGGGGACAGCTGTCCATCTACCGCAACGCTTTGTCTACATGCGCTGCTTTTGTGACTAAAGTTGAGGCGCAGCTAACCGTAAAAGGGCACGGGTTCGGAGGAAGCGGTGAAATTGGTGGGGGGGGGGGGTGTTTGGTTTGACATTTGGGTATGAATTGAGAAATTAAAATTAACGTTTGGGTTTAGGGTTTTAGGTTATTAGGTGTGGGGGTTTAGGGGTAGGGTAAATTGGGTTGGCCGATTTTTATTTTGTTTTAAGGTAAGGCGGGTTAAAATCTAAGATTTATGTTAGGGCCGTACAAATCATAATTGTTAGGTTAGTGAGGCAAGAGAAGGGCATGGGCAGGGCCGGGCGGGGATTTTTGATCTGAGGGCGAGGGTCGAAAAAATTTTGCAAAATTTTTTTAAATTTAAATCCACAGGTGGACCACGTTCAACTTTTTCCAGAATTTTTTTCTGGGGTCACGGGGGGGAGGGGGAGGGGAGGGGGTACCTTCACGTCCCCCCCCCCCCGCGCCCGGCCTTGGGCATGGGGGGGGTTAATATTAGAACTTTTTTTTTATTTTTCCGTTTTTCGTTCAAAACTGATCATTTCACACAATTTCTATTAAAAAATCGCGAAATTTCTACTTTCCATCACCTTCATCGTATCATAAAACCGAAATCATCTTTTTTTTTCGAATCCCCGCATTTGCATCCCGAAATCGTAAAATCGACATTAAAAGTGCGTCGAAGTGATATTTAAAATGATATTTAAACACTCATCACTTTACGTTCGAGAGTTATATAATCATGTTATCATTTTTTGAGTATACATTCGCTTTATCACCGGTTTTTTTTGATAACGGCGACGGAAAAACAAATTCCCACACAGTTTTTTTGGGTAATAAAAGTTGTTTTAGACTTTTAATGACCTTATGGAGTTGGAAAAGTATGTGATATTGGAGTATAAACTGTGTAAAATGAACTAAAAATGATGGTTGACACAAAAAAATTTAAAATTTGAAATATTAGTAAAAATTTTTTGTAAACCACTCTCACCCCCCCCAATTTTTAAAACTAAATTTACCCTGCCCAACACTAAAAACAAGCTCAACCTTAACTCACAAAGATTAGTCATAACTAAATTAGAAAAACGAACGGTTAGGTACGTCATCCGCGCAATAACGACTTACAGCGGCTTCTTTAAGATACGATTTGCAAGATTGCGCTAGAGACAGCTGGTCATAAAGAAAATTCAAAAAAAAAACTTCTGGTGGACAGATATTTTGAAATACGAATGTAGATGGACTTAAAATTCTAGATACACCGAAATATTAATATAGCTGGGCTTAAAATTAAACAAAAATGTCATAATTTCTCGGGCGGGGTAAAAAATTTTTTCTTTTTTTTTCAAGACGGTTTTTTAAAATTTTTTTGTAGTAAAATGGATTTTACTGTGTAAAAAACGAATTTACTTTACATTAGACCCTTTTTTTCTTTTTTTCTCTTTTTTCAATCATTTTTTCTTTTGTAATTATTTTTTTCTTTGTCTACAAATTAACGCTGTTTTCAGTGAATTAAAAGCCTTATGGAATCTCATTTTGATGACATTGTTTAATCTTTCATTGAAATTTTTTACTTGGCCTATTCTGTCCTACTTTACCTTATCTTTCAATTCTAGTTTCATTCGATGACGTATATAAGGCCATAACTTTGACTTTGCCCACCTACCACAACTTCTCATTACCTCCATACAAATAACCTTCAAACAAAATTTTTTCAAAATGTTTTTTAAAAGACCCGCGAAAATCATCTCGAAAATGTTTGGGAAACACAAATAAGACATTAATTATTGCAGAAGATGCCGAATTACACCACAGCCCAGCTTCCACCCAAGCCTCCGACGTTAAGCGAGCCAGCGCCGCGAGTGGGCGTGGTCTGCTCACCCCTCGATTCACCTTTTTCACAAGAAAACCAAGTGATTTTGCGGCCGGCTGTTCCCGCCAAACCCAATATTGATATTGTCCGGTACAGCATGGCCAATGCTCAAGGTAAGGCGTTTTTTGATTTTTTATGAGGGGTGGGATTTTGAAAATTTTTGTTTTTTTTGGGGAAGATTATTGAATTTTGGGTAGTTTAAGCAATATTTGGGCATTTTTTCGTATTTTTAAAATAAATTTAGCAATTTTAAACTAAATTTTAAATAATTTTAATAATATTTTCGCTGTTTTTACCCATTTTTAAAATTTTTATTGATAAAAGTTTTCATTTCTTGATCAAAATATTTGTTTTTCACATTTTCCTCTAAATCATAACAATTTTTATCTTTCCAGTAGCTGATATTACTTTTCTAATCAAAAATATTGGTTTTCTTACTTTTTCTTTGAAATTTCGAACAATTTAGGGCGAAAAACAAAAGTGAAATCATTTTTTGTTCGAAAAAACTGATTGAAATTCAAAATTATTCCTTTTTTGATGGCTTTTATCAGTTCCTGCATCTAAATCTTTGGTTTTTGGGGCTTTTTAAAGTTGAAATTAACAAAAAATGAAAATTTGTTACCTAAATTAACAAAAACTGAATGTTTGTTACCTAAATTAACAAAAGGTGAACATTTTTTACCTAAATTAACAAAAAATGAACATCTGTTACCTAAAAAGGCAAAAGTTGTTTAAAATTATCAAAAAAGGAATTACCAATTCAACATATTTGGTCTACAATAACACTTACCTTTTAGACGACCTTGATGATGTTCTAAATGAGCTTCTGGAGCTTGGAAACACATTGTCCGGTCCAGCAGCAGATCAAATTTTATATGGAATCAATCCCATCGCTTCGTCATCTTCATGTCATTCCAATTTGAATGTTCAACCTGCTGCTCCAGTTAATGTTACGAGCACCTTAACTCCACAAAACCTACATTCTGCACAAAAGGTCATTAATCTTCAACCAGTAAGTGTTTATTTTAAATTTTGAAAGTTTTTTAGGTACGATTAAGGTCTCAGTTATGTGGAATTTTGAATTTTTCTCAAATGTTACCTAAAAATATTGAAATGTTTCTTAAGGAAGTGACGTTTTTCTCATTTTTCTCAAACACTTGACCTTAATTTACCCTTATTTAGACGTTATCTTTAGGTTTTTATAATTTTTCTTTTTTTTGTTATTAATTAGGCGTAATGAGCCGTGAAATTGCGACGATTTTTTTAATTTCTGATGACGTTTGGGCTCGCAAAATAAAAAAAAATTTTGGCGATGATTTTTGAAATTTTTTGACATTTTTTTCATGTTTTATTGTTATGAGGATGAACATTTTTAAAAAAAATTTAAAAAAGTAAATTTTTGAAAATTTTAAATTTCAGTCCAACTGTTACGACCACCTTGATGGCCCTCAACGATCTCAAACTGACTTATGTGCTAGTCCAGATAACGATTCGGCTTATGGAGATTCATCATCCACTGAATTCTCAACTCGCTACAGACATTCTGAATTCAGTAGTAACGACAGCTACCGAGGAAGCTTGAACACACCTAGTCCTACTAATCAGGTATGGCATTTTGTTGGCTGATATGGGCTAATATTTGATTTTTAATTACAATTTTGTTTAAGATTTATATTGTTTTTGCCTCTAAGACATATTTTTTGGCATAACTCTGCTGTTTTTTGTCATAACTTTGCTGGCCGTTCACAGAACGTTGCCAAACTTTGCCAGACCGTTCACAGAACGTTAGGTAAACAGTTCCGCGCTTCCCATTCTGATTCATCGCAAAGTTTCGGCATTTTACATTGAGAAAGGGAGAGAAAAGAAGGCGCTTTGTGGCAGTGATTGATGGTCCTATTGATGATCTGTCACTAGCTTAATATTTTACTGCAGCGATTAAGGTTACTGGCGATCTGGCCACGTGCTCTTTGGCATTATAATATGTAGTCTTTGAGGAATTGGTCTAAGGTTAAATTGAATATGATAGGGTAGGGCATTGTAAGCTAGGGTAGGGTAGTGTACGATAGTATAGGATAGGATAGGGTAGGGCATTGTAAGCTAGGATAAGGTAGTGTACGATAGTATAGGGTAGGGTAGGATGAGGTAGGGTATGATATGGTCCTTAAAAGAAGAAAGTGGCTTCTCATGACGAATGGTTTTAGTGTACGATAGTAGGATAGCGTACGGTGAATTAAGGTATGTTATGCTAAGGTAGGGTGGGGGTGTTCTTAGAGGAAGATAGTGGTGTCTAATGCCAAAAAGCTATATAAAAGAGCCAAGAAGGGTCAATTTTTTCGAAATTTTTAAATTCAAAGCTCCATTACCGTAGCCCCAAACCAAATTTTAATAAACCAAGAATCCGCGGCCCAACTTCCGTTCTAATCATCCGAACGGATTCCGTCTTCATTTCGAATAAAAATGTTTATTCGAACAGAAGTTTGCATTGTTTCTGGGATTATTAGCAGCGCAGCGCTCTTCAATCTCTGCTTCCTGCTCTTTGAGTGCATTCTCGAACAGATGTTCGAGAGTCGAAGGTTTTGGCTTTGTTTGGCCAACGTGCGAACAACCTTTGTTTAGGGCCAAAGTTTGTGTTGGAAGAGCGCGACGGATTAATGTTACATTACGAAAAAGGGATACAATAGGGTCAGGTGAGGGGTCAGGAGGAGGAAACATGTGAAGAATAGGGTCAAGAAGTTGGCAGAACGTCGGACATACAAAACTTTGGGTAGGGTAGGGTAGCATAAGGCAGCGTAGGTTAAGGTAAGATAGGGTAGGGTAGGGTACGGTAGGGTAGGGGTAAGGTAAGGTAAGGTAGAGATTTGAAAGGGATAGATAGACGTTCGCTTAGTTTTTGGCCAAATTGCTAATCAATTCCAAGAAGATTAATCACGAATTAAGACAAATCTAAGTCATAAAAGTCATCAGAGAGCTCTATTTCATATAAATCATAACACTTTAAAACAAGAAACCACTAATTAATTAATCAAAGGTATCCAATGCAATGTCATCGTAACGCGTTTTAACAATAAATCAATCAAAATTATGCCTAAAGCCTTAAAATTTTTATTTAAGTTATCAAAATTAAAAAAAATTATTCAAAATCAGCTATTATTATATGCCGACATAAAGAACCCGCCATTTTTTACAGGAAATTACAAGAAAAGTATGGCGGGTTCTTTATGTCGGCATATAATAATTTTAAAATAAGCCTAATTCGTTTCAAATAAGCCTAATTCATCATTTTTATCAAAATCCTTTTAGGTTTCACCAAAGTCATCGGACAGTGGCACTAATGAGCCGGTTCAAATGACCGAAGACGAGCTCAAGGCTCTCAAGATCAAAGAAGCTTTGGAGAAGATGAAAGAAGCGAAACGGAAGAAGATCTACGTCAAATTCTTCTTGGAAGACAATTCGACAAAAGGGCTTCTGATCGACGAGCGATGGAGTGTAGCCGACACGATGAAGCAATTGGCAAACAAATTGGGCATCTGCTTGACACCGGAACATTCGATCGTTGAGGAGTATCCTGAGATGCATATAAGTAAGAAAAAAAATTTTTTTTTAAGTTGGGCGGTTAAAATAAAAAATTTTTTTTGGCGAATGGGTTAGGGGGATTAAAGTAATTTTTGAAATTTTGTGATTAGGTGAGGTTTTTTTGGCTAAAGATACTACAAATTAACCGAAACATACACCTCATATATAAACTTTATAAATGTCTTCCCACCTACACTCAGCTCATTATTTACAGTCCATTTCGAGCGATTTACCCCGGTTTAATTAGCCAAAAAAGCGTGTAATCCGATCGGGATTAGGGGGTATCTTTCAGCCGAGACAGTTGGCCGCATCCCGCTGATCCAAAAACAAATCCAGCTGTCGCCAAGAAATTAGAATATTCCGTAAAGAATGGCGGTTTAATGCACTCGCTTAAGTTCTGGCTAAGCCGGTTCGAAAACGAAATAAACAGGCCATAAAACCCGACATACGATGGGCTGATGGGTGCGACTGTCTTTATATGATGCGGAAATTTACATAAATTTAGTTAAGGATCAAAATTTGAAAAAAAGTTGGATTTTAGACCAAAGGTTTAGAACTAATGTCAAAAAAATGAAAAAGGAAGCCTTAAAACATTTAAGATTAGCCATTATCATTAAAACTTTTTCAGAGCGAATCTACGAGGACCACGAGATGATAGTAGAGAACATTGAAGACTGGCTAGCTGACTCCAAAAACAAACTTTACTTCATTCATCGACCAGACAAATACTGTTTCATCCACGCGCCCGAACAATACTTATTGACCGAAAAGTTTGGCTATGACTTTCCACCAGCTGAAGCCGACTGGTCTTCAGAACAACGTCAGGAGCTTCTGAACAAATACACAAGTTCAGAATCCATCGTGCCAGAACTCGAAGGCTATTTGATGTTGAAAGCTGATGGCAAGAAGAGTTGGAAAAAGCACTACTTTGTACTACGAAGCTCGGGATTGTACTATTCGCCTAAGGGGAAAATGAAAAGTGCCAAAGATTTGCAATGTTTGATGACTGTCTACAACAATCAGATTTATACTAGTACTGACTGGAGGAAAAAGTACAAAGCTCCAACTCCTTATGGCTTTGCTATTAAGCATCCGAAGATTCAGGTTAAAACTTCGAAATATATCAAGTATGTGTGTACTGAGGATGAAAAGACGTTCAGAAAGTGGGTTACTGCGCTCAGAATTACTAAGGTAGGGTTTGGACCTATAAAGGGCTATTTTTATACACTTGTACTGAATTTGAACATTTTTTTCATTGGTACTACATATTTATACTCTGACCTTTCAGAACAACGCCTCAGTGCTGCAAAAGAACTACAAAGACGTGCAATTAGAAGCCAAGAAGCAGGTACCGATTCACGTTGATGTGCAATCTTCAGTTCATTCTATGGACTTGTCCAGGCTTACCTTAAACAACTCTAGGCCTGGTAGTATCACTGGGAATAGTATGAATAGTAATCACAGTAACTCAAGAATATCGTTGGCTTCTAGCCGTTTTGGTATTGATAATGGAGTACTGCCTTCTACTTCTAATACTGCTTTTGATCAGGTATGGAGTTTTTGGCGATTTAGGTACCTTGATGTAGGTTCATGGTATTAAGTGCTACAGTATTCTGTGTTGCCTTACTTTAACCATCTTAACCTATTTGACTCTGCTTAACACTCTATTTTTATCAATGTTAATTTACTTTTGCCCTTTCAGGACGACTGTGGCACGATAAAACGTCAACCTCTTCACGATCAGTTCAATGGCTTCAGAACTCCACCGTTAAACCTACCAACTTCTCAACTTCGTGGGTCTACCGGTAATTCTGTTCGTTTCTCGAGTAGTACCAACAACAGTGGTGACAACCTGAACAATTTGTCAAGTCACGATGGAGGGGAATCGGATTCTGATGAAGAACAATTCCCTCCACCACCAGATTTCTCCGTGTTCAGGCAGAGTCCGGCAGTACCAGTAGTGGCACCAATTACACCGGTTAGTATGGTTATGGGGCAACAGGTGCAGGTTCAGCAGATGAGTGGGTATCGACCGCCTACGGTAAGATTGATTTTTTAAGTTTGGTAGGGTGGGGCAGGTCTGATTTTTTAAAAACGAATAGGGTGTGGCAGTTTAGAGGTAGTGCTGACTAGTAGAGTCAAAGTTTAAAACAAAAAATTTCAGGTAGTACCATCACCTTTGTCTAGGACACCAGGGCCAAAAGTACCGCCACCCCCACCACCAAAGCGATCGGAAAACACAAAACTTCAGTCGGCCAACCCACAACATAAGCAGCAAATGGACTTGTTTACCGAGCTACAACAGGCAACGCTGCGACAAAAGCAACGAATTGAAGGAAATTAAAATTTTTATTTTATTTTACTAATTATTACCCTATTTTTTCAATTTTTTAAATTTGAAATTTCATGGTTACTATGTACGTATGTTCATATTGGTCTGTATATATCAGTTACTTTGAATAATATTTTCCAATTTTACCACTATTTTTTTTTAATTTTAAAAATATATATTGTAATTTTATTTTGAAACAGGCTACAGCCTAGACACAGTAGTTTTTTCTTACGTTTTTGATAAGTACTTATGTTGTTCTTACTATTCTTTAGTACTTATATATTAGGTGCCGACATAAAGAGCCCGCCATAAATTGCCTGTAATTGTAAAAAATGGCGAGTTCTTTATGTCGGCACCTAATATTTCAGTACTTATTACTATATATTACTTATAATATCTTGCTATTCTTAACGACACTGTCAATTTTTTCAAAACTACTCCTCTACTCTACTACAACATGATCATAACTTTTTTCAAAATTTACTTTTACCGCCAAAACTTTACATTCTAATGACATTTTCCTCGAAGACATTTTAACCCCAAAAATCAGTCATAATGCTCCGGTGTGTTGTGTTTTAAATTATACGTGATTTTATTATAATAAACATTGCCATTTGAGATATGACATTGTCAAGAATTTTGCCATTTGAGATGACATTGTTAAGAATATTGCCATTTTATACATTAGATGTCGGCATAAAGAATCCGCCATATGTTGCCTGTAATTTCTTGTAAAAAATGGCGGATTCTTTATGTCGGGACGTAAGAACTGTTAAGAATTTTGTCTTTTGTGATGACACTGCTAAGAATTTTGCCATTTTAGATATGACATTGATAGGAATGTTGCAATTTATACATGACTTTATTAATATTGTCATTGAGATACGATTATTATTCGTTTTGTACGTTACTTTGGTGGTTATGGATCGCGCATGCGAGCTTTTTGGTATGCTAGGTATCTGACGTCGTTGGGATGGTAGGGTCCCATACGAGAATCACCGCTCCATTTGAATATTGTGCGTGTGTACCTGGAAATTAGAGTTTAACTATTAGGGATGTGCACAGGGCCGGGCAGGGACTTTTACCCTGGGGGCGGGGGTCGGAAAAATTAGACACCATCATGACTTATTAGGTGCCGACATAAAGAACCCGCCATACTTTTCCTGTAATTTTTTGTAAAAAATGGCGGGTCCTTTATGTCGGCACCTAATAGGTATGAAACATGATCTTGATGTTACATTACGGTCTGGATAGTACTATGAAACTAGGTTCTACATTTTCGTAAAGCCAAGTCCAGATAGTACTATGAAATTAAGTGATACAGTACTTAAAAAAGCTAAGACAAAGTTTCTATTAGGTGCTGACATAAAGAACCCGCCATTTTTTACAGGAAATTACAGTAAAAGTATGGCGGGTTCTTTATGTCGGTAAAGCAACGTACCATGAAGGCCAATCCTGCGGAGCGTACCGTCCTACCGTGCCTTGGTAGAACTTTGTCCCAGCGTGCGGCCGTGCGTATTTTCGTAGCTCTTCTGGATAGTAATAGGTCTGCCTCTTAGGTCTGATCAGTCCAATTACTACTGCGCATAAACCTGAAATCTCATTTTTTAAATTTTTTTTAATTTTTTTAGTTTTTAAAATTTTTTGAATAGCCAAAAAATTGGTAGTATATTAACCATAAATAAGATTAGAATTCATAAGTCATGCTATTTTTAAAATACGGTAATTTTTTTACAAAAAAAAATTTTTGTTACCTAAATTTAACAATTTTACCTTATTTCAAGCCCAAAATACAAAAAAAACCATCATGTTAACCTTAAAAAGCCTATTGTTTACAACAAAAAAAACTTACAAAAAAACAAAATCGCCAGCTTCATCGTGATGGGGGAGCTACACGACCGGGCGCAACGCCGCGTTTTCCAGTCGAATCCGATTCTCGCCGGGATTCGGTGCGTTCCGCCGCAATTGGCACTTTTCACTTTTTTCGAAACCCAAACTTTTCCGGATTTGCGGGAAAAAAACCTGTTGGGGGAGATCTTCCTCTTTATTTACATGCAGTGTGAATACGCGATCCTACTGAGGCTGAACGGTGAGGAGTAAATAACAATAACAGTGGTAAAATGGCTGGGGGATCAAGCGGTATGGGTTGGAGATCAAGAGGCATAGATGTGAGTATCTGGGAGTGGAGAAGGGAGGATGGAGAGAGAGGGTGAGGAAGAGGCAGAAAGAAAGTTTTTAAAAGTTGAAATCGATCTCACCTATTAAATTTAAAAAAAAATTTTTTTTTAAATCTTAGAGGTTGTATTAACAGGAAGGTATCCGACCTGAAACGCCCAGACTTCGTTCAAATTTTTTTATTGAAGGAGCACGTAAATTAGGCTCAGCTTAGGCTTAGCTTTAGGCTTAGCTTAGGCTTAGTTTTAGGCTTAGCTTTAGGCTTAGCTTAGGCTTAGCTTTAGGCATAGCTTAGGCTTAGCTTAGGCTTAGCTTAGGCTTAGCTTAGGCTGCCAGACTTGAGAAAACCGAGATCAAAAAATCGCGTTTTGAATTTTCTGCCAAATTGGCATAGTGTTCCAAGCTTTTAACTTCCTCATTTTTTAACTTTTAACTATTTTTCTTTGATATAATGATCGATAGAAAAGCTTTGAATAAGCCTGAAATTTTAAAGTTGTAAACCTATCTTATCTGGAACATCAAAAAAGTGCTTGAAACACAATGCCAAATTTGCCAAATTGGCAGGAAAGTTAAATATATTAATTTTAAAATTTAAAACCGCACAATAAAATTTTCTATATGTGCTACTGATGTTAAAAAAAAGTCGTATAAAAATTTTTAAGCTAATTCTGAGAGTTGCAGATTGGGTACTTCCCTTGTAAATTTAAAAATTTTGCAAAAATTTAAAAAACATTATCAAGTTTAAAAAAAAATAAAGAAATGTGCTAGTTTGAGTAACAACCTTGAAATTGTGATCTTTTTAAGCTCTTCATCGCGGCTTAGGTTAACAAATTAGTTGATGTTCGTCACGCTTAATTAAGCATGTTACATCAAAACTTGATTTTGGTGTTTTTCGTGAATAAACAAGTAATTTAGGTAAGATGCATGGTGTTAAAATCTATATTGGCTGAAGTTTGATTATTTTATCAAAAATATTAGGTGCCGACATAAAGAATCCGCCATTTTTTACAGGAAATTACAAGCAATGTATGGCGGGTTCTTTATGTTGACGCTTAATATTAAGCCTAATTGTAGATGATTTTAAGCCTAAAAATTAATTGATCTCAATTTTTAGGCTTAAGATACACTAGATTTTTTATATTTTAAAAAATTCACTGATAAGAACTTATTAATCTGCCTTTTCGCTACTCATAAAAGTCGCTTATGACAAATTATGTTATCCTTCAACAATGACCCACTTAAATCCGATTGTTTATATACCCGTTTTGGCGATAGATTAAGTAACAGTCAATTTTGGTCAAAAATATTTCAAATCATGAGGTCAGAATGGGCGGGCCGGCACCAGACTCGGCGATTTGGAGCCGGCCGTGAACAGGCGCTTCAGGGCGATCTGGTAGTCCCGGTTGAATACCTAGATTTCAATTTTAAAATTAATTTAGGCTTGGAAGAGGTTTGAACTTCACATTAAACATCATTTTAAAAATTATAAATTTTTTTTTAAACTAAAAAAATTTTAAAAAAAATTTAGGTAACAAACATAAAAATTACCGTATAAATTATGGGGTTCATGGCCGAGTTACTGTAGCCAAGCCAGGTGATGAACATCTCAACATGCGGGTTGATCTTACACGTTGAGCAAAATTGTACTACCACGTACATGCTGAAAGTAATTTTTCAGAAAACATAATTTTTTTAAAAAATATTTTTTGAAACTAATTTTTAAATAGTGTATAATATATTTAATTTTAACTAAAGGCTTCAAGATTGTGAAGTCAATAAGCGTTGTTTATGATATATATCAGGCACCGACATAAAGAACCCGCCATAATTTGCTTGTAATTTCCTGTAAAAAATGGCGGGTTCTTTACGTCAGCACTTAATAGTTTTATAATTAGGTATAATATATGTAATCGTTGAAGCTCACAAAATGTAAAGTCAATACTGTATGATATATAGTACTTACATAAAGAAAGGCGTCCAGCAAACAGTAAAGCATCCAAGAATGATGCCAAGAACTTTCACTCCACGGCGTTCCTTAGCGGCCGAAATGGCTCTAGGCTTCTTTTGTAAGCTCTTACGATAGTTTCGTTCTTTTCTGAAATTTATATGGTCGTTCTAAATATGATGAGAAAGTTTTATTACATATTTTAAAGGTAACCGCGTCTAATATTAGGTTAAACCAAAAGTACCGGGACACTTTTCACTTATTTTTCAACTGAAAAGTGCCCCGTTTCTTTTGGTTAGACCTAATGTTAAGTGCCGACATAAAGAACCCGCCATACTTTGCCTATAATTTCTTGTAAAAATGGCGGGTTTTTTATGTCGGCAAGTAATACTTTATAAAAAAGTATTAGTACCAACTGTCCCAGTCAAACTTGTGATACTGTACCAACTGTCCCAACTAAACTTGTAAACTTAAAATAACTTACCTTTGTTTGTGACGTTTTACTTTTTCATAGCTGATGACAGGATGATCTTTACGGCCTTCTTGTAGTTCTGGATGAGCATCTTCTTTCCGGAAAGCTACACACTTTTCATAATTGGTCTTAGGCTTCGTATCACCATTTTGACAAGCTTCTCGTCGAACTATCACTGATTTTTGTTCTGCTGGCGTCTGTAAGTTTATAGGCTTAACTTTGTACTTTCAGTGGAGTTGTAGGCTTATACTACTTGTTTTGTATAGTTTTTAGGCATAAATCCTTTCGTTTTTCTGCTTTTAGGCTTAAATTTTTCCATTTTTTTGTTTTTAAGCTTAAATTTGCTTTTTGAACTCTAACCTCCCCCCTATTCCAATCTATTGTCTTTAACCTAACTTAATATAAAACTTTGTCGTATGGTTAATGTAATGTTATTACACAACACCTGCTTGACTAACAGTTAATAAGCGAACTAAATCAACTAAAATAACAATTAAAAAATCTTACAGTAACGGCTACTGTAACTTGTGTCACGTTTTCCGTCGTCCTGAGGTTTGTATTGTAATCGCTGTCTTCTTCTTCATACTCATCTTCATCTTCTTCCATTATGGCATCTTCGTCTTCTTCAACAATCACCCCGTTCGGTGATTTTGAGTCTTTTTCCTTTGATCTTTCTGGAATTATTGGTTATCACACTTTGTGTTTTGATATTACACATGAGATTCTAAATGTATCAATAATAAAAGCCTAAGCTTCATTCGAAGCCTAAATTTTAGCCTACACTTAACTCAAAGCAAAAAAGTCAGTTTATTTCTAACTTCAAGCCTAGTATTAGGTGCCGACATAAAGAATCCGCCATTTTTTTACAGAAAATTACAGGAAAAGTATGACGGGTTCTTTATGTCGAGACCTAGTAAAAGCTCTCAAAAACTCCTAACTCACCACTACTATCATCCTCATCTTCTTCATCCTCCTCTTCTTTTGCAAACTCATCCGATGTCGGTAAGACATGGCTGATTTCGTGTAGAATCGTCGACTCAATATGTTTTCGAATGACCTACAGTAAAAAGTGTAACCACATAAAAGAAGTTGTGCTTTGAAAAAACAGTGCAAAACTACTTGGTTTAAGTTTAAAATTGTTTTTTAAAGCGTGCTTGGTTTAAAAAAGTGAATTTTAAAGAATTATCGTGCGGTGTAGAGGCAATGGCACAGATACTGAGAAATGACAGATATGGCAAATGGTGTTATAAGGGTTTTTGTGCTAACATTTAAAATTTTAGTGTTACAGTAACGAAAAAAAGGTTGTTATTAGAAGCCGACATAAAGAACCCGCCATAAATTTCCTGTACTTTCCTGTAAAAAATGGCGGGTTCTTTATGTCGGCACTTAATACATTGACGTAAAAAACGTTGTTAACTGGTCATATGGATGATACTAAAACTGGCCGTGCAAAAGCAAAAAATTTTAAGAAATTTTGAAAAAGTGCAAAAGGAAAAACTATTGATAAAATGTTAAAAGTTGGTGAAATGTAAGCATACAACAATGATTAATATCAGGGAGAAACATAAGGGCTTACATGCGAAGACGTTGCCAGCTAAAAATTAAAATAAAGTCAACATGGGCTATACATATACATGCCAATCCACCCCCATCACCGCAGTAAATCCATTTTTCAAGGAAATTCGCACAACTTTCAGTACTTGTACTATTAGGTGCCGACATAAAGAACCCGCCATACTTTGCCTGTAATTTCTTGTCAAAAATGGCGGGTTCCTTATGTCGGCGCCTAATATAACATGCGCATATATACAAATAGGTAATACAATTATAAAAAAGTATATATGTTAAGTATTTTTTATGTCACAGTACTATAGTACTAAAAGTTGTGTTACGACCTTCAATTCCAGCACATATAAACCGTCAAAAGAAACCGATATTAGTAAGCTTTGGTTGTTAATATAATGCAATTTGGAAACATGAAAACACCCCTTATTTTGCATACCACCATAATGTAAAAAAATTTTGTACTATAGTATTAGTACCAAAAAAAATATATTGTACTATAGTACTAGTACCCAAAATTACTTTAGTACAATATCAACCAAAAAATAATATTAGTACCAAACAAGAACCTACCTTCTGTCTATAAATCTGTCGTGCACGATGCTTAGCAAAGGCTTGGTAGATCTTGAAGTACACAAAGAACATCACAGTTAACGGGATGAAAAAACTCCCAGTCGCACTGTAGATCGTATACGATGGCAAGTCCAAGAACGTGCATTGCCATGTCCCGTTGATCATGACCAGATTCCCGTGTTCGGCTATCTGTTTCCAGCCTAATAGTGGGGCCAAACTGATCAGAGCTGATGACACCCAGACGGCTAGGATCATAACTAACGCCGTGCGTTTGTTACGCTTGGCCATATAGGCAACGGGCGATGTTATGGCCCAATAACGGTCCAGACCGACGATTGATAGGTTCCATATTGAGGCAGTTGAGCAGAGAATGTCGGCTGAAATGACATTTGTAACTTTTTAGATTTTTTAGTTTAAAAATTTTAACAACCCAACCCCCCCCCCCTTTATATCTAAAAAATTTGAAAAACGTTTAAATTTTTAAAATTTTTTTCAATTTTTATTTGCCTAAAGGCATTTTTCTTGAATCCAACATCATTTTCATGTTGTTATGCTCAAATATTTTCTCTATACGAGCATTATTGTTGTATATTTCGAAGCGAAATATATCCATTCACACCTTATAAATATTCATGTTTACCCACCGGATACAAAGATGGCACACAGCGTTTCGGGAAACAACCATTCCCCGGCGATGGCATACACTGAAGACAATGGCAACACGACCAGTCCGAGGCATAAGTCGCTGAAAGCCAAGTTACCCACCTGAAAATTCGAAGAATGAGGTTAGGGATGGTGTACTAGGTGCCGACATAAAGAACCCGCCATTTTTTTTCAGGAAATTACAGGAAAAGTATGGCGGGTTCTTTATGTCGGCATTTAATAGGGTAAATTATACTGTACTTTTTGTTGTTTTATTGATATCTTAGGTAGTTTTGGTGTCTTTTTGCTTTGATATTTATCTTCATAGTTGTATAGTTCTAATGCTACTTTAAGTACAGTAATTTCTTATGTTTCCAGCTTTTGTTAACATTAATGATTAGAACAATGCTTACAATAAAAGCCCAAAAATTTGCCTGATCAAAGCCCACGTAATCATCCCAGACTAAAATACGTGCTATTTTGTACCAATTAAAACGAAAGTACGTATTTATTCGGAAAATTCTAGCATTTTACATATCTTATTCTCAAAAACGACCAGTTTTAATTTCAAGTGTCAAATTAAGGCCGAAAACAATTACTCAAATATTAAGCCTGAAATTTGACAAATAAACAGAACGTGGTTTTTGAGCACCAACAAGCTGGTGCTTAATGGTACATCTTAAATTTCGCTTTTAATATATACTAGCTATGATAAAATAAGCCTTATTATTAGGTTGACCCGAAAGTTTTGGGACAATTATAATTTTTTTAATTTTTTGAGCAAAGACTGTCCCGCTACTTTTAATTCAACCTATTAGGTGCCGACATATAGAACCCGCCACACTTTTCCTGTAATTTCCTGTAAAAAATGGCGGGTTCTTTATGTCGGCACCTAATAATAGTACTACTTATCACAATAACAATATTAGTTGTCTTGGAGTCGTTAGAGGAGAGATAGCTTAATAGACTAATTTAAAATTGACTCAAAACTGCTTTCTGAATGCCTTTTTAATATGTATATTATGCTAAATATATCCACATAAACCAAGTCTTTACACTTTTATATCTTGATGTCACTCCATCCCCCAAACTTTGTCACATTCCATTGAAATTTCGAGAAATATCGTTAACAAAACAACTCATAAGTGTCGCCTAGGCCAAAGTTCCAAGGCAAAAGCAAATAATCTAATTTATTTTTGGTTTCGTATCTTTTTTTGAAAGATTTCCAAGAATGTAAAAATACTTGAAAGTAATTCTCGCCTCTTTTAAGACGTCAATGTTGAGTCGTTAGAGGAGATAATGACTTCCTGCAGTCATTAGAAATGAATGTAACGCATTTCCAAAGTTGTTACATGTACATTCTCAAAGAGTTTTTTTTTAATTTTGAAAAAAATCTACGAAATCTTGAAAAAGGCTTTAAAACATTTTAAAAAATGGCAAAATTGAGCGAGTAAGAAAAAATTAAGCCATTTTGCACCATATATTTTTAAGCTTAGGTTTAAGTTTAGGCTTAAGCTTAGGCTTAGGCTTAAACTTAAGCTTAGGCTTAGGCTTGGGCGTAGGCTTAGGATTAGGATTAGGCTTAGGCTTAGGCTTAGGCTTAGGCTTAGGCTTAGGCTTAGGCTTAGGCTTAGGCTTAGGCTTAGGCTTAGGCTTAGGCTTAGGCTTAGGCTTAGGCTTAGGCTTAGGCTTAGACTTATGCTTAGGCTTAGACGTGAGTTTAGGCTTAGCTTTAGTCTTAGGCTTAATAGCCTTAAAAAAATTGAAAAAAAAATTTAATTTTTAAGCTATATATCACTATAAAAAACCGAAAATATAACGCTCAGTCATAGTATCGTACTCAAAATAAGAAAACTGTATCTCAATGATAATACAAGTATCATAATCAAAAAAACTGAAAAACTCACTAATAAATTAGGCACTGTTTGTAAGCGAGGATTTTTGTACAGTACAACAAAAACCAGCGCATTTGCTGCCACCGTCCATAATACCAGTAAGGTGAGCGCTACACTTTTCAACGTCTGAAACAGCGTGTAGTGCTCGATTTGCGGCTGACCTGGCTCAAACATGACGCTGTTGGCGCCCAGCGCCGCTCCAACCCAACTGTTTTGTCAGCACTTTGATCGTTTTGAGGACGAGGGACCTAAAGTAAAAAAGTTTTTTTTTAATTTAAAATTTTAAAATGGCACTTTAATATCACGTAAAGCGTTTGTAGCTTAGAAACCACAAAAAAATGAAATTTTTGTTGTATAAACCCAACAAAAACAAAAAATGTTGGTCTCACCACAAAAACCTAAATTTTGGCATTCTGCACCGAGTCATTAATTTACATCCAGAACTCCTTCAGACCAAAAATCAAAACAAAAACAATTTCCAAACCAAAAACTAACGTCTATATTACCTTATCTCCACTTCCTCTTCTCATCCGTTACAATACTACGTACAGTAAATAACGTCATGTTATTTTAAAATGTAAAATAAGGAAAAATACAAATTGGCAAATAACAGACATCTAACAGACAAAACCCATTGAAATTGTATTTTTAGAGCACGAGATAAATTAAAAGGCTAGATACCATGGTAAACAACAAATGTATTTCAAGATGGTAAGGTCTTGGAAACGGAAATTGACAACTAATTGATGACAAACAATTTAATTTTTAACCTAGTCTGCGATTATGGCATAGGAAGATGTTTGAATGCTTGAAATGTGTTAGTCATGGCTGGGGTAGGGCTAAAAAAATTGAAAAGTTGGGGTGGGGGGATGAAGAAGAGAAGGAGAGGGCACACTAATATACTACCCCCATTTCATTAAAAAATTAAAAAAGTGACCCAACTTATGCCAAAAATAATCAATTTAAAAAAAAACCTTTCATCAACACCTAATTTAAATCCTCCCTACCCCCCCCCCTTTTGCGCTAAAACAGTTAAGTTATGCCTGTTTGTTCTGCAGCCAATGTAAACTCGTTTGAAAAAGGACACCATTATAAATGTAAATTTTATATCACTTTGGTTTGAATAAATGAAAAACATTCAAAGTCATAAACACTTTATGGTCGGGCTTAAAAATTCAAAGCTTTAAAAGGTTTTAACAGCTCGGCCATTTAGTTTATATAAATTAGAAGATAAGTACATATTAAATGCCGACATAAAGGACCCGCCATACTTTTGCTGTAATTTCCTGTAAAAAATGGCGGGTTCTTTATGTCGGCACTTATCACAATATAAATTTAGATTTTAAAAGTAAAGATTCAATAAAGGTAACATAACATGATAAAAAAATAAAAAAATTTTACCCTACCCTACCCCCGCCCTACCCTCTCAACCCATAAAAACCGTACAAACCCTAACTCCACAAGCTATACTTAAACTTTGTGAAGCTAAAGCCTTTGGAAACATCACTAAAATTAACACAAATTAGGCCCAAAACCGACAAACACGTGGCTTCGTAAGCACCAGAAGCCTAGGCATTTGCTGGAATCCTTTCACAACGTTTTTTCTCTTATTCACAATTAAATTACGGTAGAGGAAAAAACGGTGTTGAACCCCTAAAAATAAGACAAATCCGATTTTGAGGCAATTTAGCTGTGAGAAAGTGCTAAAGTGTTAATTTGTTTTATTAACAATATTATGTTAGAATAATAGAAACAGTTATAAAATTAAAAAGTAGTATAGGTATTAAAATTGCATTATTCTTGCTGTAATTTACCCAAGCAGGTATGTAATCATAGTGAAGAGTTCGGGTTTGCATGTAATATATCATTATATAACATAAGAGAAAATAGTAGTTCCGTACACAAAAATTGCGCAAACCCTAGCACTCGCAGTAATTTATTGCGTAAACGTAGACCTATGTTTAGGCTTAGGCTTAGGCTTAGGTTCAGGTTTAGGCTTAGGCTTAGGCTTAAGCTTAGGCTTAAGCTTAGGCTTACGCTTACGCTTAGGCTTAGGCTTAGGCTTAGGCTTAGGCTTAGGCTTAGGCTTAGGCTTAGGCTTAGGCTTAGGCTTAATTATAGTATTGGTATTCTAACTAATGAAGTTGTATAGCAGCAAAGATGGAGTTTATATACTCATAAAATAACGCAGAAAAAAAGTTATATATCCCTCGATGAAATTGGAAGTTATGTCTTAGTACTCGCAGTAATTTTTTGGGTCGTTTTACATCGAGGCAATAATTACAAACATAGGTCATATTACGCATAAAAAAGTTACGCAACTTAATTGTTTGCAATTTCTCTATGGCTATCTTTTTGATAGTAAAAATTAGGTAATACTGTCCGGTATTTCCATCTTTCAATTGTTGATAAATGTGTTAAAGCCTTTAAAAAACATTGTTCCAATATAAAATCCCTTTCGGTTCAAGTTCTTTGAAAAGAAATAAAAAAATACGAAACCAGTCAAATGTCACACACCATTGTAAATAAAAACAACTATGTAAAGAGCCGTCTGGGATAACAATAAAATACATTTTATAGTATGCTATCAAGTTATTTATGAAAATTTAAAGTTTAGAGTATTCAATTCAGGTGGTACAAATTTAAAAAAGTTTATATTTTCAAACTTTCAAGTTTATTTTTAGTAAAATACGAAAAAGTCATTTCGAAGATCTTAAAATACGACAGCATGTTTTACAAAAGTTTTAAAAATTTGAATTTAAGATAATGTAAATAGTAGCAAACAAAGTCATAGACATTGCTGTGCTATAACAGCCACTTAAGCTAATTGTAAGGCTTTTACAATTTTATAGTTTGGCGTAATATGAAAAAAACTTTAAAGGATTAAAGAAGTTTCTAAAAACCAAGGCTGTGTTTATGAAATTAAAGGTAGGGTAAAATTTTTTTCTGTTACAGCTAGTTTTGAAATTTTTTAAAATGATTTTTTAATATCTGCTTTTTAATAGAAATTTATGTACTACAAAATCATGTTTTTTATTAAAAAATTTGAAATTTATGCTAATTTTTTTTTCAAAAAATACTATTAAAAATTTTTAAAAAAGCCGAAAATGTTATAAGATTTACGAAGAAATGTCAAAAACATTAAGAAATTATGCCAAAAATCAACTCTATCATCAGTAAAACCCCAAAAGCTACATAAATCCCACTAAAAACCCCAAAACTTTTTGACCGCAGCGCAGAACGGTCGATAAATCACTCTGGTCGTGCCAATCTGCAGCTCAACAAGTCCCGCTAATCGAATCTGGTGTTAATGCGCGAGAGTCTCGCACAAAAAAAAGTGTTGGTTCTTGGATGGGACACGGTTGGGTCGGTCCCGCCCCAACTCTTTATCCCCTCAGCGTGCCGGCGTCGTTCCTCCGACGCGCACAGCCATTTAACGTTTTATATGGCAAAAAGTTTGGGGTGGGGGATTTTGGCGGCGAAACTTGATGATGTGATTGTAGTCTGTGATCAAGTGGGTTTATATGGGTATATATGGGTTTATATGAAAAATTTAAAAATTTTTATGACTGAGCAAAGTAAAAAATAATTTTTTAGGTTTTAAGTTAGTTGTAAAAAATTTTTTTAAACATTAAAGAAGGCGTTAATCTTAAAATTATTAAAAGTCTTAGAGTACACTGGGCAATATTTTAGTTCACTGAGGGGAGGAACCGTGAAAAAATTATTTTTTTCAAATTGTTTAAAAATCGACTGAAGGTAACACGTTCAATTTGTTTCTATTAAGTGCCAACATAAAGAACCCGCCACACTTTGCTTGTAATTACCTGTAAAAATTGGCGGGTTCTTTATGTCGGCATCTAATAAAAGACTTTGTCATGTGAGAATAGTTAAAATAATTTTTTTTAGCTACAAAAAGCCACCAATAAAGCCTTCATCATTCAAAAAATCAACCCAATTAAAAAAAATTCAAAATCCCACCCCACTGACAACTTATAGTACGCAGAACTGTGTACGCTACAAACTTGAAGCCTTGTCATCGAATGTAATTGCGTCCTCACAAAACAAAAAAGTGAATAATTTTTTTGGGGCCGGAGTGTCATCTGCATTCGGCTTCGGTTTTCATTTTATTGATTCTACAAATCTGACCTATTTTTGCTACATTATAATCGGATACAACAATATCTTTAAAATTTGATACTGAAAGATGTGTTAAAAATGATACTACAAGATTTTAAAATTACAAGCTGATACTATATTAGGTGCCGACATAAAGGACCCGCCATTTTTTACAAGAAATTACAGGAAAAGTATGGCGGGTTCTTTATGTCGGCGCCTAATAAAAGATGAACATTTATAATATGACACTATAAGAAGTATAAATTTGATATTAGAGGATTTGTTTTAATTCCTCATTAAGGCTTCTATTTTTCACGCACGATTATTTTTAAAGATTATAAGGGTTTTTACGGGATACCACGGGTTTATATAGACATATATATTAGATACCGGCATAAAGAACCCGCCATTTTTTGTAGGAAGTTACAGGCAAGGTATGGTCGGTTCTTTATGTCGGAACCTGATAGTTTATAAAATAAAATCACTGACATTACAGAAGACCTGGTTTAGAAAAACAAATTCGAAAGCCAGTATGAAGTAAGTCTTGAAAGATGACAAATCTTGCCATAGGTAATGACGGTCTATAAACAACATAAATAAACAATATGAATTACTTTGCTTTTTTTATCTAAACAACGTAAAATATTATTTATAGGCCTCATTAGTAAAAAAGCAAAACAATAATATATTGTACTGTAAAAACAAGATAGGCAAGGTAGACTATTAGGTAATTGAAAGTAAAATAGTAAATCTACTTTTGTGTAGACCAGAAATAACATTCAGACGAACTTACAGTCCCCGGAAAAGCATGTCAAAATAAAAATTAATGATTTTCTGGGATGTTACATTCAGATACGTCTTGACATATTAGTCTTTCGTGTACAACGGTAAAGCGCACAGTGCAATAAATTAAAATTTTTAGGAATAATTAGTATAGGTGCAGACGAAAAAAGTACAGTATATATTAGTCGACATAAAGAATACTTTTCCTGAAATTTCTTGTAAAAAATAGCGGGTTCTTTATGTCGGAACCCAATAGAACAAGAGATTTGAATATACTGAAAGTTACAGGAAAAGAATGGCGGGTTCTTTATGTCAACACCTAATAAAACAAGAAGTTTAAAAAGAAAAAACCAGGAGTTAAAAGACAAAATTTAAAAAACTAAACAATAAAATTTTGAAAAGTGGCATAAACACCTCCCAATATGTTGACAACAACAAACCCTCTTTAACCGTTGAGCCAGCTCAGCAACAATAAAGCCAAACTAAGGCCGACTCTAAAGTTTTGTGAAGCCGCCATTCCCTAATCACCATTAATGGCCAACTTTTTTTGGAATGAAATTGAAGAAGACGCAGATGCCAACAACTTGTCGCCTTCTCCAAATAAATTAGCTTAAGCGTACCCGACGGCATATTTGTTTATATACGCTTTTTTTTCCTCAGGGCTTTGGTTTACAGCTCTGTCACAAGTTTTGGTTGTAAATTAATTTTTAAAAACGATTCAATTTTAATGTGAAGAACATTACTGTATGTAGTAAAAGTACGGTAGAAAAGTTTAAGGCAAGGAACAGCAAGGAACGCTAGGAAACGGTAGCGTAAAGTACAGTAAGATAGAGTAAGCAGGAATAAGGTAGGGTAAGGTAGGGTAGGGTAGGGTAGGGTAGGGTAGGGTAGGGTAGCGTAGGGTAGGGTAGGGTAGGGTAGGGTAGGGTAGGGTAGGGTAGGGTAGGGTAGGGTAGGGTAGGGTAGGGTAGGGTAGGGTAGGGTAGGGTAATGTAGGATAGGGTATAAAATTTAAAAAATTTTGAAAATTGAGAATATTAACGTTTAAAAAAATTTAAAATTGAAAATTAACTTCATAAACTAACAATTTAAAAACAAAATCCAGCTCACTCGAACGGATAAAGCCCTACATGTATAATACACGTCTGTTGATGTAAACGGAAGTGAACCAGCTTTGCAACCCCTTTATTATTTCAATATATAACAAATTGAAATAATGAAAAAGATTACAAAACCTAGCCGCGAAACTACAAAATGATCTCGGCTTAACACCCGAGGCCATGTAACACTTGTCGCTATATCATTGCCATAGCAATATATACAATAAATCGGCTTAAACTACAAAACATACGTCAATTGAATAAGATAATAGTGATATAAAGTGTCATAAATTGAAGATTAGCCAAAAATTGAAGTGTTTTTTTTACAGAATTGCAATGTATTGTCTACAAAAAACGTGTTTTTGTTTTTTTTAACTTGCAAAAAGTAGTGTTACTACTAAAAAAATGAAAAACATGTTGCAAACTAGGTTAGTTATACACAATGTTTCAGTTATGTTAAGCCTACTACATCAATAATATTAGAATAAACATATCAAACACAATTGTAAAATAAAAAATGACACAATTTTTAAATGCTACACAATACGTTCCTTTATAAAGTTTAATAACAATGTACAGATGTTGTAAATGTACTCATTAACCATAAAAAAACCAAAACGTAGTTAATTTGTAGTTTATTTCAAAGAAACGGCTTATTAAACAAGATTCATATACATGACTTTAAAGTACAAATATAATAGTTGTCTGAGTTTTACAAGTTATACACAGTACATTCAGTACTAGTTTCGTATCCAGTACGTATGTGTACTAACTAAATATTATGCAGTATGTATAGTACTAACCAAGTACTATAGTACAAAAGCATTCGAAGTCCCCCCCCCCTCCTCTTTGCTTTAAAAAATAAAATTGGCATTAAGAATGCACAAATCGCAATTAATTAACCCAACGACTTTAATATGCATACCTGAGTGGCATTCCGAAAAAACAATTGAAAAAACTGTCCCCGCATCAAGAATTAGGACAAGAAGAAGACGCTGAAGGTGAGATGGCCAAATGGGCGGCCAGAAGCGGCTTACGTTTATCCCCTTGCCATGCCCCCTCTCCCCACGACGATCAAAAAATAAATGACAGCCCAAAATGGATGTTGATGTATGCAACAAAAAACAATGCACAGTAGGGGAATTTCGTGTACGTTTTGCGGCCCGATAATCGAGAGTTTGAAACAAAAATTACAAAAAAAGTTGATGCCTGATTGTACTATTGGTCTAGGTTTAATGAATGGGTCTTATATAAAAAGTTGGTACCAATGCTTTAGGCAAAAGTATTCCTCCCTCTCTCGCGTCTTAAATTTTTCTACAGTACCAAGAGGTCAACATATACAGTGTAAGCCTTATATAACAAATCGCTAGAGAAATTAAAATTTGTTCGTTATGAAGAGGTTTCTTTATACAGAGGTTTGAAATGCACTGTGTAATGATAACAGGGGATTCAAAAGTTGTTTGTTATACAGAGGTTTCGTTACATAGAGGTCCTTATACTGAGGTTCCACTGTAGTAGATCCTTTTTATAAGCAACTTCGTTACAAAATGTTCTAAGTAAAGTTAATTTACTATTAACAAGTGATTTTACATTAGTACAACATCCCAAAGTTATTATCTATAGAATTTAAAGGCCAGTTTTATATGTTAATGAGTACGTTGTTTTGTAAAACCTACGATTTTACATCTCAATTAGGCAAGTTTAAACTTGTTGTTGCCATAGCAAACCGGCCACAAACATATTATTTTGTAATACAAAATTATGCCATGCTATGTCTATTGCAGTAAAATACAAAAAAATAATAATTTTTACAAAAACCACTAAAACTATGCATGACTAGGTCCAATCGGCAACTTTGATCAAAAAGAGAGGGGGGGTGGGACATTTTTTATTTCAAAATTTTTTTCTGAACTAGGAAGAGCAGCCTCAAAAAAAACTTTTTCAGGCAACACACCCAGCACCAACAGCCATTTGGAAACATAACCGCAGTCGACGTTTTCCCTTCATGTAATGTAAATAAGTCTAAAATTGAAGTGGATCTATCCTACTTGTCACGTCAAGCCACTTTACAGAATCCGAAGCCAAAATGCCACTTTTTTCGGCTATTTACTCGAAATTTGTTCGGATTTTGAATGCAACATGCACTTTGGCGCTTGAAATTTAAAACAACATGCAAGTTTAGAGTTGATTGGCCTAGCTTGCTGCATTCATTACCTAAAATATTTTTCTTGTGGCTTTGTGGCAAAATTGTGTGAATACAATAAGAAAGATTGAACAAACAATAAGAAATTGATTCATTAAGAAAAGGTATTTAATATAGAAGTATAGGCTTGCAAAATTGATGTTAATGTTCAACAGTTGATTGCTCTACATTACATTTTTTATTTTGTAAATTATATTTGTTATGACTTTCTACACTTAAAACTATTAGGTTGAACCAAAAGTAGCGGGACGCTTTTCATTTTTAAATTTTTAAAATTAAAATTTTCAATTAAAAAGTGTCCCGCTAATTTTGGTTCACCCTAATAACTGTTATAACACTCATCTCCAACAACACTCAAAATGACTTGAATAACCGTTCAACCCACTAGGTCAACATGTATTTCCAAATCCGATTCCACAAATGGACATGTCAACAATGCGGCCCATTAGATGAATATACCCGGCTTCGAGTGGAGTCACGGCGAACTCGTTGACTTGAGATGGGATCTCCGTTCATCGGGAGTGTTTTTGCAAGGGTTTCAGACACTTTCCCGCTGATTCTTCGCTTACGAATGGCATGATCAAGGTTACTTTCGCTCTCTTTTTCTTAACCGATTCGTAACGCGCAAGCCCTCCGGGCATGTTCACCTTAATCAAACAAAAAACGAAGAGTAGATCGTTATTGTATTGTAGCTACTTACAATAACGATTTGTTTCTTTGTTAAGCTATAGTGTAAATTAATTTTTTGGTTTTAGTGTGGACTGTTTTTTCTTTTTTTAGCCATAGCGTTGCCTTGTTTTTTGTTACTGTATTGTGCTATGTTTGTACTAGTATTAACACAAAAACTTTTAGAATGCAATACTTACTTCTATGTGCAATATCGTTACTTTTTGGAACAGTATCTTCTTTAGAATGTCACAGTTGCTTATCGTATTGTAAATTAAAACCAAATGGTGACTTAGGTATAGATTGTGATTGTATTGGCAACACAACATGTCAAGGCACTAGTTGTTTTGCCAAGGTTGAGGTTTTTAGCACTGAAGAAACGGCTATTATTCAGGTAAGTGGAGCTGAACGATGGCTGTAAATTTTTAAAAATTAGGTTTTGAAATTGAAAAAAATTAATTTAAAAAAAATTAAAAACTAATGATTAATTTTTTAAAGTTTAGGTTATAAATTATAAATTTAGAAAGGATGCGCCACAAACTTACCGTATGGAACAAACGGCTGTCACTATGCTGGTGCTCAAGAATCCATTCATTGCTATTGTGATGGAGAACATTGTAACACAAAAGAACATGTAATACTAATTTTAACATTTTTAAAAAATTTTTTCTGAAATTTTTATAATGCAATGTAATTTAATTTTAACTTTTAAGAAATTGTTTATATTATGATAGATTAATGATTTAAAACTAATAGACATTTTGTTAGCCAAAACAGTCAAAAAAAAATAAAAATATGTTACAGTTCGACAACTACAAGCCAAAGCAACTCCCCATCGTGCAATGTTGCGAATGCTCCGAACCGCGAGGTGAAAAGTGTCCAGAAGACAAATGTGAACGAACGTGCCGTGGGAACTATTGCCTAATCGACTTTGATGGTGTAGAACAAGGCTGCGGTTTGGGCTTACCACGTCTTCAAAACTTTTTACGCATCCAAAACTATACCGATTTCCAAGGCACTTCTACTTGTGCACGGTACCAAGCTACACAGTCTACCATCGTACATGGATGCGTTTGCACGTCGCCAACAGGATATTGTAACAGAGTGAATGCATCAAGAGAGTACCAGTTGGAAAAGGTGGTATCAAGAAGAGTGGACGATCAAAATTACTGCTACAGTTTGCATCAGAAATCGCGAAAAGCGTTTGATAAGGATGTGTTTAAGAAGTAAGTTACCATGGTACAATCAGTTTCATAGACTTGAGAAAACTTTAAGGTCAGACACATGTGAAGGACATTACTGCTTCATTAGTATGACAACATCAGAGTTGGTGGTGGAGAATACTACAGAGATTGATGCTGATGGTAGAGGATCGTATGTTGGGTTAAGTCGGCCACGATACGAAATTCTGGCTGGTTGTTTGAAGGTTGACGATGATAAAGTATGTTCTCAATTATATAACAATAACTTTTTCTAGAAAGTCAGTCTAGGCTGTACCACGGAATACTCAGAAAACGGTAGTCCCATCAGCAAACATTGCATTTGTGAATCTCACTTATGTAACTATTACAACAAGCTGACTGAAGACAATAGCACTACTGAAAAGCAAGTTATACTAGACACTTCTCATGATCACGATTTGGTAAATTCACCGTCCGAAGCTGCTGGTACTATTATGACATACGATCCATCGCGGCGTAATTCGGCTAACAAACTATGTGTATATAGTGTCATTTTGTCTGTTGCTTATTTCTTAATGTTTTAGTAACTGTTTTAGAATGTTAATAAGTATCGAGATAATATGGAGTATTGTATAAAGTAGCCTTTACATTATCTAGTATTTTATAAAGTCTACATTATCTTAATTATCAACATGGTAAAAACACCTAAAAAGACAAATTCAAAATCGATTTTATTACCGGTATAATATAAAAAAATTACAAAAAACATATTTTTACCGGTCGAAAAAACATAAAACAACATAGTAAAAACGAATATACTAGAAACAACGTATTGAAATCATATATACATCAAGGTATGAAGCGATATGGCCAGTTTATGATACTAATGCATCTTTTTTTACATTTTTACAATAAAAAGGAACTTAAAGGACCAGTTCGCTCATTCAAATATCATTGGCATTCTGTCGCAAAAAGCGTCGAAAATCAGGCAATTTCAATCAAAATCATTTTTCTCAAAAAACGTGAGTGGGTCGATGTCGAAATGAATTTTCCAATTTGGGACCGACCTGCTCAGGTTTTTTGCGAAAAAAATGAACGTCAAATTTTTGCGACACAATGCCAATGATATTTGAATGGGCGAACTGGTCCTTTAAAGTGTAAAACATAAACATACTTAAACTAACGTTTGACCGTTTTAAGACACATTATTACGTTAAACCAAAAGTAGCGGGACACTTTTAAGTTGTAAAACAAATATGTGTCCCGCTACTTTTGGTTCAGTCTAATATAATAGGCAGTGATTACCGTCCAATTTCAATTTCCCTATCCTCAATTTCAAATTCAGAAGTCGCCGCACGATACCCTTTTTGTTTGTGCGAAGCGATGAAAAAGGCAATGCCAGCAAAAATGTACACGCCCACCACACCACCTGCAATGTAATAAGCCAGTCCGTTTTGTTGGACGGTCGAAAAGTCCCAGTCCTGATTACTACGATGCTTTTCAGCTATGTTTGTATTCCATTCGTCTACACTACTGGTTAGCACTTCCATCGCTACTACTATGCACATGGCTAGAAATGAAATTTTAAAAAATTTTTAACTTTTTAAAATTTTAATTTTTAAATTCAGCAGGATTAAGTATTATACTAACAAATTAACGTCTTTAGCTCATTATCATAGTATTAGGTGCCGACATAAAGAACCCGCCATACTTTTCCTTTAATTTTCTGTAAAGAATGGCGGGTTCTTTATGTCGACACCTAATTCCTTTAAACTTAAGACATAAACCTACCAATGAAGAAGTGAATACCTCCGACCAGTCGTTTGTAAATGTATCGATGATGTGTGAATGTATATAAGGCAAAGGCGTTATTACAAAACATAATCACAAGTGATATTACACAGAAGGCCGCTTGAGCACGGTAGTAATCTGAAATTTTTTTTTTAAATTTTTTGTCAGAATTTGCGTTTTAGTACTATAATATTTACAACTTCAATATTTTTCTACAATAAAAATTTTTTGATCCACCCTTACCCACAAAAACATTTTTTACAATTGAAAGTGTTACAGTGTTACTTCTGTATAACTAATCACTCGAGGACTTGAAATTTGTTCGTTATATTAGATGCCGACATAAAGAACCCGCCATACTTTCCGTGTAATTTCTTGTAAAAAATGGTGGTTTCTTTATGTCGCGCCTAATAAAAGAGTTTCGTTATACATGAGTTTAAAATTTACTGTGTAACGTTGTCTGGGGATTTCAAAATTGTTTGTTATACCGGATTTTCGTTATAGAGGTGTTTGTTATACAGAAGTTCGACTGTATTTTGTTTATCTCTGCTTCTGTCGGTTGAAATTACACCCTCTCCCCACAACACTCTACCTATAAAACCCCTATAATCCTTTTCAAAACAATACTATTTTCTATTTTAACCCGCGCCGTCTCCATTAAGCACGACAATCTTAAAACATGCATCTTCCCCTTCCTCTTTGATTTATGTCTTCTTGAGGCTTTTCTTCTTTATTTGTTTGAAATTTGCTAATAAATAAAACTGGCTTTCCAACCCTTCGAAACAAGAAAACTGCCTTTTTTTCCGTTCGAAATTGTCATTTTAGCCTCAGAATAGGCAAATTGTCATATTGGCTTCAAATCAATAGAATCGTTATGAACAGCTGCACTTACGTTTTATGTCTTCATCAGCCAAGCGAAGTATCCGCCCGCCCGGAGGTTCGGGGAAATGCGGGGTGTATTCGCCTAAAATAAAAAGTAATCATAAAAAGGATAACTTAAAGATTAACTTTGTAAAATTAGTTTTAAAATTTTCTATTAAATATTTTAAAAATTTATAAAAATTCTTTCTTTTTTGCTCGACATTGACTAGGCTTATGAATAGACTTACGATTAAGGTTAGGTTTAAACTTAGGCTTAGGCTTAAGATTACACTTAGGCTTAGGCTTACGGTTAGGCTTAGGCTTAAGATTAGGCTTAAAATTAGGCTTAAAAATCAGTTAAACAACATAAAACATAAAAAAATAAAAAAATACCTACTTTTTTAAAAAATTTCAAAAATCCTGAAATTAGGTACCAAAATTACAAACTTACTTATGTTAGTAGTGTTAAGTTTTCGCCATTCTCCCCAAACCCCTAACCGGACGTTGACTTTTTGAAATTCAGTGTTGACAAAGTCCAAAATAGCCCAATCTGGATGAAATACGGCCACGAGAAAAGCGAAGATGCCAAGCTGAAATTGCTTTTTATACGTTCATAGATATAACTGTCAATTTTTCGTCATCGTTGTTTTGAAATGTCACGTTTGGAAACGTTATTCGAAACAAATGTTTTAATTTCTAAGGCTAATCTTTTTGGCTTGGTTGGCTTATGTTTAGCGGTTTGCGTTTTGTAGGCTTAATTTTTATTGCGTAAAAGTGGAGTTATGTTTAGGCTTGGACTTAGGCTTAGGTTTAGGCTTCGGCTTAAGCTTAGGCTTAGGCTTAAGCTTAGGCTTAGGCTTAGGCTTAGGCTTAGGCTTAGGCTTAGGCTTAGGCTTAGGCTTAGGCTTAGGCTTAGGCTTAGGCTTAGGCTTAGGCTTAGGCTTAGGCTTAGGCTTAGGCTTAAGCTTAGGCTTAGGCTTAGGCTTAACCCAAGTATTAGTATTGGAACAAATGACGTTATTTAGCAGCAAAGATGGGGTTTATATACTCATAAAATAACGCAGAAAAAAAGTTAGATAGCCCCCCATCAAATTTGGTAGTTATCCTAGGACTCGCAGTAATTTGTTGGGTCGTTTTACATCGAGGTAAAAATTACACAAATAAAATATATTACATAAGAAAAAGTTGCGTAATAAGATTTCTTGCGATTTCTCTAAGGCTATTTTGATAAATCACTCATTATGTAATTCTTCACAAATTTTGTCTATTTTTTATTCAAATATTATTGAAAGCGTTACATGAAAAGTGGCAGAAGATTTGAAGCTTATGTGGACATATCTTACATAGTAACTACAGAGAATTTGGCTTAGTAGACGTAAGCTTAGTTTTAGCTAGCTTAATCTTAACAGTCTTACCATGTTTTATGACTTTTTAAGTATGCAAATCCTTAAAACTTTTTAAAACTCTCAAAAACCCTTCAAAAAAGCCCTTCCTCTTCTCTTCCTTCCTTTCCATGACATTTGGCACGTTTCTCATTAAATAATTTATGTCCTGCAGCAATAACGCCTCAGTTTCTGTTCCTAAACCAACAAAAACAAACAAATTGAGCACCTACAATGGTCAGAAATGTCGCGAATGCCATCAACCGACGTTGCCATAGCACTTGATGATAGCTTTCCATGTTCAAAATTTGCGACCCAGTGCATTCCACGGTCTTCTCTATTAGCTGCATCTGAAAAAGCGTGTTTGTTGTGGGCCTGGGCAAACGGGGCGGGGCTTCGAATTTTGCCCCAAAGCCATATCGGCACCTGTCATTGCGGCCGCGATGGCTTTGTCAAAGGTTAGGATTTTATTTACATATCAATGGGCCAAAACAATTATATTTTTATACAAATTTGAGGAAACGTTAGTTTATATATAATATATCATAGAAAGCGAAAGGAGGGGTGAGAAAACGATGCGCAAAAGATAGAGGGGTGAGGGGGGAAAGAAAGTGGAAGAAAGGGAGGAGATAAATAGAGTGACAAACGGGCCGGGCCGGTTTTAAGCTAAATTTAAGTCGGGCTGAGTCTTAGTTTTCAAAAAAAAAACCATGCCCGTTTGAATAAAAAAAATTGGACTGGGCCGGCCTGAGATGAAATCTAAAACGGGCCAAGCCTAAACCTTTATCCCCGGGTATTGAACTGACCTCAAAAGTTGGCCCGGCCCGTTTCACACCCTTAGAGGTAAAGACAGTATGCAACGCATGGGAGACCTCTGTTAATATTAGGCGCCGACATAAACAACCCGCCATACAATTTCCTGTAAAAAATAGCGGGTTCTTTATGTCGGCACCTAAAAATTAAAACTTTCAAAAAGTGTACTTGCCGTCATGAGCCCTGACCCTTTCTCGGTAGAACAAAAAAACTTTTGGGCGTGGTAAAATACTGGTAGATATATTTTACCTTTTTCAACTTTTATGTGGTTACATATATTGTCAATAAACTTTATAAAACTACTTTAAAAAAAACCTCCTGTGCCTATAAAAATATGAAACCGACAGGCTAAAGGCATAACTTTTCAATATATATTATTTTCGAAAGCAAAAACTTTTTGCACTATGACTTTCGATAAACGGCCGGCATAACTTTTCCCATTTCTTGGCACTCTTTTGGCCTTTTGCGGTTCAAAGAGCTGACAAAGAGGTCATAAAGTGGTTTTTAAAATGAGTAGTCGTAATTATTTTTTTTAATTTTAGGTTTAAATAAATTAGTTTTATCCCTTTTCATAGACAAAAAGATTTCAGAAATCATTATGTATAAGCAGTTAAAAACAAAATTGTAAACAACATGACAAATCGCGTATGACAAAACCAAAAAGTCAACCTGACTCAAACTGTTATTAGACCTGTCATCTGATGTTTAGCTTATTTTTTTGTTTCAAAATTGTACCTTAGAAGAAATTTTTTTTATACAGATACTGTAAAATCATCATTTCAGCCCAGGGTAGTTAAAAATTACAAAATTTTGTAAAAAATTTTTAAATTTTAAAAAATATTTGAAATCCACACTATCTAAACCTTTCAAAAAAGAGTGTCAACGTTTTTCGAACAAAAAGACAATGCAAAAACCGTAGAGCATGGCCAACTTCTTGAGATTTGGCCTTTTCGTTTTTCACGCGCCACTTCTTTTCAGTAAAATTAGAGACCGCAGGGGATTTAAGGAGCCTTTCAGACAAAAAATTTGAAAATCTTGCAAAGACTGACCAACTGACCAGCTGCTATTCGAAACTGACGTTAGAAACAAAAAATATGTTTTTTGGGTAGAAAGGTTGATTTTTTGAATTTTTATATTTTCAAAAAAAAATATTTTAAATTAAAAATAAGATTTAAATTTGGTATTTATTAGGTGCCGACATAAAAAACCCGCCATTTTTTACAGGAAATTACAGGAAAAGTATGGCGGGTTCTTTATGTCGGCACCTAAAACTTACCGACCAGTATTTTTCGATCCCTTACAGCCCGAAACAATTAGAAACGTTAAAGTCGAAAGAGTGCAACGTCGTAAAAATACTAAACGGCTTTGTTTTACACGTTTTTCGACCATATGACAATTGGCCACAAAGTAGGCTTAACAAAAAATTTTTAAAAAAGTAGTCTTAGCAAAGTAGGCTTAACAAAAAATTGAGCTTTATAAAAAAATTTGAATGAAAAACATAACTTGTTGCATCATTGTTTTACTCTTGCTTTACCGTCGTCGTACCCTCTCCATCCCTATCCGCAACTTATTCTACTGAGTAGAATCTACCCCATCCTATCCAGCCTTACAATTTTAACATTAAAGTACCAAAAACGAACTTTTAGTAAAAAACTTTAATTAACTACTTTTCTTCGCTAACTTGAAAAAACTAAAGTGAAATTCAAATTCTTAAGCATTTCTGTGACTTTCAGCTGGGCCCCCCTCCTGAAACCGACCTTAAGTGAAAAGGGAAAAGAAAAGCCGCCGCGCGACACCCGTAGGGTTTTTCCCGAGCACAAAGCCACCCCGATTTTTAAACAAAATTCGCTTTTGTTTGTTTTTAAGGCCAAATTTGGCCACAAATTTGATTACAAACAGTTTTTTGGAACGGTAAGAGGTGACAAACGTTCTTTTACAAGTTTAAAAATAGAAACAAAGAAAGGGCAAATAGTTGTGGTACGGAGGAGGAATGAAAGAAGGTTTAGCACGGTAAACTTTGTTTACAGTATAAAAAAAATGTTTCAAATAAAACAATATTCATATTTATATTCATTTATCCTCTAAAATCAATATCACAATCAAATTGAGTACGAAAGAAAGAGATTGAGCTTCATCACGAAGAGCAAAAATCATAATTGTTAAATTACCGGTTTGGTCAAAAATTAATAAAGAACTTCCAAAAACATAATTTTGTACAAAAGCACTAATTCTAAGCAATTTTTGACCAAAAACGCAATTCTCCTTTTTGACTAAAAATATCTAAAAAATTTTGGCTTTTTGACCAAAACTAGTCGTTGTTAATAAAAAATGATACAATTATCAAACAATTTCATCAATTATGCTATGAAATGATTATACATTTCACTGAGGCAGCGTGAATGCCAATACGACCGGTTTGTGATCGCCCATGCATATGTCCATCCCAATTTTTATGTGTAATTGGTGTGCTGCACCGCCGTCCACGCTTTATTATTCATTAAAACGCGGTCGCACCAAGCCGGCATCCGCGTGTTGGTCAACAAGTCGTGCTTGAACGGATCTTCGTTCCATGGATAACAAAAAACAGATAATTTAGGCTTAAGTTTAAAGTTGAAAATTTAAAGTTAAAAAACTATAAGCAAAATTTTAAAAATCTTTAAAATTCTAAGCCTTTAGCTTTTATAATTTGTAATATGAAAATTTTAGAAAAAAAGTTTTTTATCAGTGTTTTGCCTTTCGGGTCCGGTCCGGTCCGTACGGTCCGGATTTTTGAATTTATTTTTCCCGCCAAACTCATATCTCGAAATCCATTATAGATATCAAAAAAATAACAGCATCTAGAAGGGTCAGCACCATTCCAAGTAGGGGGGTAGAAAAAGTTTCAGACCGATCCGACCGGTAGAAAAAAGCGCGGAAGAGCAAAATTCAAATTCCGGACTCTCGCATTGGGTCCGGCCCGGGAAGAACTCTGTTTTTTATATAAAGTTTATTACTGTTAATTAGGCTTTAATAAATAAAAGTTATAATATTGTGTAACATTGGTTTTGGCGTCAATTAATGGAACACAGTCGTTAGCAATGTGTAGTTTAACAAACCAATTATAAAAATCAGTTGAATTTTCTTTTAATACAGGAAACTTCAGATTCATCAATTTTTTAACTTGATATTTATCGGTTTTTTGCTCTTCTTCTTCTATATCCCACGCAATCCGTTCTTCAATTTCTGCCGAAAAGCGTCTTACTCGAATACTATCTAAAATTAATGCTTACCAAGCGTGCCTACTATTTGAACTTAAATAGGTGGGCGAGGGAAGAGAGAATTGCGGTAAAGCAATATTCTACCCTACCATACCTTAATTTAGTAATTAAACACATTTTTAAATTGGTAAACTTGCCTTTTTTAAACCGAAAGAACGTAAATCTAATAAGCTCATCATCTGCTGTATAACGCTGAGATTCTGCAATCTTGTAGGTTGGTGATGGCAAAAACCCAAAATCAGAAAAGTAGCCATATCTGTAGCACAGTAGTAGATTGGTATCATATTTCGTTTTTATCCAGCAATCATGGGTCTTGTTGTAAGTTAAGAACTAAAAAACGATTGTAAAATGCAAAGTTTTAGCAAAAATATTATATCATTTTATTAGCACTAGCCTTGCCCTACAGCATAACACTTTTTAAATTTTAACGGTTAAGCATTGTTTATTAGTAAATCTTACCTTTTTTTCAGATCTTTGGAACAGTGTGTTAAAATTATATAATTGCCAATAACGCACGTTCGGCTCTTCAAACACAATTTTTTGTTTTTTTATACTGTATATTCTCAATCCGATTTTGTCAGCTAAAATAGAAAAAATTGTAGTACTCGTATCCAGTAGAGCTAGTCCAGTTCCAAAATTAGCCTTTATACTGCGATGCCAAGTGTAGGGTAGGGTAGGGCAGGGTAGGGTAGGGTAGGGTAGGGTAGGGTAGGGTAGGGTAGGGTATGGTATGGTAGGGTAGGGTAGGGTAGGGTAGGGTAGGGTAGGGTAGGGTAGGGTAGGGTAGGGTAGGGTAGGGTAGGGTAGGGTAGGGTAGGGTAGGGTAGGGTAGGGTAGGGTAGGGTAGGGTAGGGTAGGGTAGGGTAGGGTAGGGTAGGGTAGGTTGGATGATATCAAAAGTTTTTACCTTACCTGCATCATAATAGTCCCCCAAAACAAATACAGAATCGTTTTCGTTGATGACGTACACTTTCATTCCTGCTGTCCATTCACAAACTTGATGTTTTTCATTTGTCTTACTATTAATTATGACAAGGAAGTTGTCCTTTGTGTGCACTGCAATATACTTTGACTTGTCATACACGCTGATATAGCTTATGTAACCTTTTGGCGTTTGAGCATCAATCTTGAATTCTTTTCTTGTGTACAAATCAAAAACTGAACCGTTTTTTATTATTTGATAGTTAAGCATTTGGCCGTGTAATCCCTTTGACGTTGCTATCATATCTTGTAATCCCTTTGACGTTGCTATCATATCATGTTGTTGTATCACTTTCATACTATACATATCATATACTAACACAAATGTGGGCGTGCGAATCAAAAGCTCTGTCCCTCGATTGATCATGTTAACGTGAGTAATTTGATTTGTATACGAAGTAAAGTCGATAATGGTAAACTCTTTTCGACCAAAGTCAAGGTTAGTCAGTACGACATAACCATTGTCATACTTTATGGCCATTTTTCCTGTGAATGGACAACAAACAGCTTGCTCCTGATGAAAGAATGAGTCGACAAACATCATCCTAATTGTACGAGTTGCGAAGCTAAAATTGTGGCAATGTCATAATTAGTTTAGCCATAGTCCTATGTTACTCTACATTACCTACCCTACCGTACTCTACTTCACTTCCGTATTTTGCCTTAAATTACTCTAGTCAATAAAGTTAGAAAATTCGTAAAATAGTTTTTTAAAAAAAATTTAATTTTAAAGTGAACTTACTCGGCAAAAGCTTCCGCCCAAGTCTCGCCTTTCAAACGATATATTACATGATCGTAACATATCTGTTTGAAATCTTGATTAACAAGCTTGTAAAAGCATTTGTCAACCATTGCCAATGAAATTGCATCTTCCCATATGTCTAGGTATTCTATGACGCTGAGCCACAACTAAAATTATTGTTCCAAAAGTAGGGATAGAGGAAAAAGTAACTGTAGTGGGGAGAGCAAAGATAAGGACAGGGAAAAGAATAGGAGTTGGGGTAGTGTCAAGAATAGAGGAGGAGTAAGGTTAGGTGTAGAAGTTAGAGTAAAGCAGGGTAGAGGTATAAGATGAAAGAGTAGGACTATGAACAGACTCACGGATAGAGATAGGGGTAAGTTTCAAGAAAAAAGTGGACTCCAATATAATTAAAACTCTAAACGTACTTCTGCCGATAATTGATTGGCAAAAATCCTCATTTTAAATAATGCGCGTCCGTCTTTAACACAAGTTAAGATAAGGAAAGACAAAAAAATCGCACATATAAAAACACAACGTAACCGCCCATATTGCCAACAGAAGGTGGCCCCAAAGTCTTGGGCATCAATTTTTATTTTACATAGACCAAGCGAAAATAACGATTATAAACTGAAACGTTTCGTACAGTAGATTTTTTTGTAAGATATAAAAAACTACACTTTCAAATAAAAAATTAAACAGTCATATTTATATTCATTTATCCTCTAAAATCGATATCACAACCAAATTGAGTACGAAAGGAAAAGATTGAGCTTCATCACCAGGAGCAAAAAATTAATATTTGTAAATCGTTAAAATTACCGGTTTGGTCAAAAATTAATAAAAAACTCTAAAAAAACAGTTTTGCCTTAAAAAAGCACTTCTATGTACTTTTTGACCAAAAAACGTAATTCTCTTTTTTGACTAAAATTCTAAAAACTTTTGACCAAAACCAGTCGTTGTTAATAAAAAATGTTACAATTATCAAAAAATGTCATAAATTATGCTATGAAACGATTATACATTTCATTGAGGCAGCGTGAATGCCAATACGACCGGTTTGTGATCGCCCATGCATATGTCCATCCCAATCGATGTGTATGTGTAATTGGTGTGCTGCACCACCGTCCACGCTTTATTATTCATTAAAACGCGGTCGCACCAAGCCGGCATCCGCGTGTTGGTCAACGAGTCGTGCTTGAACGGATCTTCGCTCCATGGATAACTGAAATAAATTAGTATAGGCTTAGGCTTAAAAGTTAATTTAATAATTTTAAGTTTTAAAACAAAATATAGATCTGAAAGTGTTTGGTTATTTCATTAGTTCAGAAAAAACCGAAAATTTTCAGTCTTAGGTGCACAATAAGCTTAATCATAAGAAAAACGTGTTTTACAACCAGAGCCGGGCTCTGAGGGGAGGGGGGGCGTGGACAAACATTTTCAGACCAAAAGTCCCTGCCCTGTTTACAACCATAACTCACGTCGGAGGAAACTCGACCGGTGGTTCAATAAGCGACAAGTCCTTGGTTTCCTGATCATCTTCTTTGTATTCTCGCCAATTTGATATCAAACTCCGACTGTTTTCATATTCAAATTTCTTCTTTTCAATTCGTAAAACGCAGCTAAAATTTTTTTAAAATCTTTTTAGCAATGCAAATTCATATTACCGTATTTTACATTAAACAAAAATATTTTACATAAAACAAAAATACCCCACACTTACCCTGCCTCAGTTATATAACAATCAATAATGTTCCTTACTTTTCATTTTTACTCCTATACTCGATGGCCGAGAGCTGGCGTTTAAAGTCATGCCCATTCAATACTGGCGTCGGTTCACTGTCATCGCTCGAGTTTTTGGGTGATTCTGAATCGCTGACCGTTTCTGTGTTATGCTGGTTTGTGTGCTTTGTTAACTTCTGTAAAAATTTACTTTACTTTATTTACTAACATCAACCATAAGAAACAGAGATTACTTTTTAATTCAAAAATTCATTAAAAAGGTAAAATAATATTTGTCTCACAACTTTAATCAAAAAACGTCTTAAAAACTTACCGAAAGAAAAGAAATGGCATTTAACCTAAAGTTAAAGTCTCCAAACAAAAATAGGTTTGATGTTACATTATTGTCTACAGTTGTCGTAAACTTCTCGTATTTTTGAAGCAGATAATTCATGGCTTTCCTTCTGTTCTGACTATACTGATAAGGGTTTTCGTGGAAAGCCAGGTTAGATTCGTCGTGGAATAAATGCAAATTTATCAAATCTAATACTCTGAAATGGCAAAAGTTATCTTTAAATCAAAACAATGAGTATAATACTGTCTTAAACAAACTGACAATTTAATCTTACAACGTAAATATACCTAATAGTCTTCGTTTTGCTTCCTATGATCATGTTACTAATAGTAAAACTTACTGTTTTCCAACTAACCATCGTGCATGTAGGTATCCTTTGCGTCCCCATCGTACCCCAGGCCAAAAATCTCGCGAAAATTTTTCTTTTCGTATCCTTTTCGTACTATTTATCTTAGGTTCTACATATAAACCAGGTTGATCTAGTGGTTGAAATGAGCTTGATTTGAAGTTGTACAACTTTGTTCTATCGCTAATAGTGCTTCTTATGAAAAATACTGAACCTAGTGCCTGAAAATAGTTAAATTGATCAACATTTTAAATTTTTTAAACAAAAAAATCAAATTGAAATTTTTTAAAAAGCCGCCCCTTTTTCCTAGGAAGTAATGCTAGACAATTACCATATTCTTTAAGCAAAACAACTCACTGTAAACTGTTCCGAGTCATTAAAATCAATGTCCAAAAACGCGTAGCAATGCCCAAACTCCTTCAAGCCTTCATGCAGCCGCCAAATCAACGGTACCACTTTGTCGCTGTTCTCCTCGAACCGCTTCCCACCCGTTTCTTGTAAATGTAGCGCCACAAACTCGGGATCATGACTGTGAACCGTCTGAATATATCATTAAACCTGTTTTCGTACTCACTTTCAGCATGTACTCAACCCACAAATCGCTCAACCGGTCGAGATCATCGAACAGCGAGCCCAGGTTGGCCGTTATCAGCAGCACTCGCGACATGGCTGCATAGATGTGTCAAGACCAACAAGTTTTCAGGACGGTCGCATAAATCCGCTTAAAAATCCTTGGGTTTTATTTACGGAATTGATGTTTGTTATAATATGAACAAAGTGAGAAAACGCAAGTAATTTTAATAAAACAAAAGCCAATTAAAAACTAGTTTAAAGTGCTTTAAAGCTTATCTAAAATATAAGCTCTACTGTTAATACCTCCTCAATACCAAGGCAAATCTTAAAAAGTAGCCAAAAGCGCAACAAAATTTATGTTCTCAAAGAGAAAAACTGATAAACGTCGCGCCAAATATGTTCACAAACTGGAGGGGGAAAAACACTTTAAAAATTAATCGTGACTTTAACTTAAAACGACGGTTTCAACGTTCTCCTAGTCTGTCTTCAATTTTTGTGATGAGTTCAAAAAGTTAATTCTTGAAAATTGCACAGTTTTAAAGACCCTACCCTACCCTATTATACCCTACCCTACCCTACCCTACCCTCAAAAATCATCATTTTAAAATTAATACTAGCCAAAATATAATAATATAAATACTAAACTACCACTATTATTAATATTATACATGAATCGCTTTTTTCCCAAGAAACGTTTAGTAATCACTGTTCCGTTTCAATTCCGTTTGGAGCAAAAAAAGGAAGTTGGCTAGCAAATTATGTTTTATTCAATTGGCAAAAACAAATAAATTATATTTTAAAATGCACTTTTAAAAGTTTAACCAGCGTGGTCAATCTGAGACTATTTTTAATCTGAAAACAGGTAGAACTTCTGTTTTCGAGAATGAAGAAAGTAAAAGTTTAACAAAACGGTCAAAGTTAAAAACCTTAATTCACAAATTTTATACAATTTATAAGTTTATTATTATATATTATACATAATATTATAATACATAAAAGTAAACCCTCAAAAAAATTTAAAAAAATTTGTGATAAAACAAAACAAACCCAAAAATATGATAACAAAGATCAAAGCCGCTAAATTGTCGCCATCTTTTTCCAATCAATGCGGGTTTTCTTTAAGCGGTTTATAACAAAAAATGCGAAGCATGATTCCCCGGCAATGATTAACACTTTCAAGATGTTTCACGTGACCACTAAAGCTATCCTAAACATTTTTGATTAATTTTAAAAATTAGTTTAACAACTGTCACTAGAAATTTAGTTTAACAAATTTAACTGGAAGTTACAATTTTTAATGAATAATACAGGTAAAACGTTATTATTCTTTACTATTACCTGCTTATAGTGGCTCTAGAAGCGTTACCTTAATAGGTATTACGAAGCTTTTTATAAGAATAACTAAATAAAACCTCGCTAATCAAAACTAAGATACCTGCATCACCCAAAACCTATAAAATAGCCAGTTAACCGAGTTTAAATTGCGCATTTTGCTTGAAAAAAGCGAGGACGAGAAGGGCTTAAAGCCGGGTGAAAAAGGGCCCGTCTCTGTCTCTCGCCTTTTATAAAAAGAGAAACGAGATTCGGTGGATTGTAGTGTATTTGCTTGATCTGAGTCCCCATTTTTATGCCCCTAAAGCTCTTTGAAGCAGAGTCTGGTTGGGGATATAGAGATACAGCTGTAGTAAAATTTTTGATTACTTTAGATGGTTAATTTTGGTGACTTTAGTAGGATAAGGTTAAAGTATAAAGCTCAAAAATGCATATATTTCAAACTATAGAAAAAATGGTAATCTAGGGTAAAGTAAGGTAGAATAAAGCAGCGCGGGGTAAAGTAAAAACAAAAATTGTTGGAGAAGGGTATGGCAACCTTTCGCCAAAGTCAAAACTATACTTTTGACCCAATTAAACTCCCAAAAAGCCACCCGACAATACTAAAACTTCCAAAAACAGTAAACAAAATTTTGATTTAAAGCCGCGGGGCTTTGGGACGAGTCTTGGAAGTGTATATATTTAGAAGTAACGCCCTCTAAATAAGACAAACAATAAAAAATTTTGACCTAAAATAGAAATTTAATTGGATCGGAATACAGCCCGTGCCGTATGAGCCAGTGTGATTTGGGGAAGGGGGGACAAACAGATTTGTTGTCTACTGTTCGATTTACAGAACAGAGGGAGGGGAGCACGTTTAGCTCCTTTCGAAAAGATTTTGTTAAAGAAGAAAAGTGATGTTACGACTAGTTTTTAGTATTATTTAAAATAAAAGTCTTTTTAAAAATTCATGAATTATGCACAGTAATAAATTCTGTCTACTCCTTTTTACAAACGTCTTTTGTGTTTGTACAGTTTTTTTTCACGCAATTCAGACAGTTTTAATGTATAGTTTTAAAAGAAACTGAATAATTATTCTAATAGTTAGTTATACCACGTAAATTTACGCTAAAACATCAATCTAATATGTAAATTACACAAATTTCACAAACTGAGAAATACACACAGCCTCCTCAGACCAAAAACAGAACCAAACCATCGACAATTTGAATATTAAACTGCAAACTCCCGACAAAACAACAATGGATTTAAAATTGGAGTTTTTAAGGAAATGAAGCAGTCACGCGCCATAATTCCCAACCACCCTCAAATACTTACAAAAACCACAAAAACAAACACAATATAATATGCGATGACGTCAATTGAGTTATTCATACCAAAAACGTTGTATTAATAAATTATCGTTATCAGTTTATGTACACATAAATCAAAGTCATGAGTTGTTAAAGGGCTTCGAAACTTTACAACGAATTATTGTTTAAGATCATGAGATGGCTACAACGTTATTTTTGAGATTTTAATAAAAGAGGTATATTACATATAACAAGTGAAAAATCAAGACTTTAAACTTAACGATTTTCACGAAGATCATGTTCTTGTTGATTATTGCTACTTAGTCATAATCCTTGGCCGTACTTTAGCAAATGGTTTGACCAGAAACGTCCCTTCTGGCTTCCTTTTCGTAAAATCGAATCCTCGTTGTCTCTAAACATTAAATTTCAAAAAGTAAAGTGCAAAACTTACAGCAAATGAGTTATAAGTGCTGGCTAACAACCTTCGCATCCGAAGTTCTTCCTTTGCTGCTTGAGGATCGAGTTTACCATCGTTTGTACGACAAATCTTTTGATAATATCTGGAAGAATATAGTAAATCAGTAAACTCCTCAAGCTTTTTAAATTTAAACGTTTTGTAAATACCATCTCTATATTCTTTTCTTAATTTAAAGTAATTAAAAACTCACTGCGAACGAGGTATAACAGGCTTTTTTTGAGGAAGAAACAGCTTTCGAGCACGAGAACTATCGACCTCTTCATCGGCTAATACTTTTTTGGCTATATTCCGTTGCTCATACGCGTCTTGACATAAATCTTCACTGAATTTGGCCAATACCTTTCTTCTCTCCATAGATTTAGCTAGGAAGTCTTGATAAGATTTATATGTTTCCTGAAAACTTATAGTGTTAGCGTTTCAATTTCATGAAAAGCTTCGGTAAAACTCCTAAAAACCAAAAAAGAAAAAAAGAATAAAATATTACCTTAGGCTTTTTGTGGCCCTTTGAGAAAGCTCGCAAAGTATGTGGTTTGTTGATACTTCTGGAGTTCAGAATTAATTTGGTCCAAAGCGTCCGACATCTTGACTACAGCCAAATTTGAGTAGATTTATGCGCCATTCTCAAGAGTAACCATATAAACCAAACAGCTGCTGCGCGTTCTCCGCTCTCCTTATACATAGACCGGTAAAATAAGCTTGAATACGCTCGCGAATATTATCTATAGACCGAAAAAAGGTGTTGACAAAATTATGTAATTGACATATAATTGAATTATCTTTAAGGATTTTCCTTTTTGTCGGTATTTATGCACTTTATTTTTATTATGACTTCAAAAGGCGCCAAATTAAATTCGAATAATGAATTTCTAAAAGCGCTTTGACACTTCGTCTCGACTTTGTGATACTTCGTCTTTTATCCATAAATTACGTCGAGTCGACAAGGTTTTATATTAATAAATAAATCATAATAAATTAAAATACAAAAATTTAAAGTTTTTTTAAGAATTTAAGAAAAATATTTTTTAACAAATGTAAAAAAAACGTCTTTTGATACGACATATTTCACTGTGTCATAACGACAGATTTCCCAGACAATGAGAAAAATTAAATTTTAAAAAAATTAAAACGAATTTTTTATCTCATACAAGTAATGTTGGGAACAGTCAAACATCGACACCTGTTTTAACTATATTAACTACAACGTAAATGGAGAACTGGCAGAATGTTCGGCATGAATTGCGCGATGTTTCACGTAAGTTTATATTGTTTTAGGCCGAAAAAGTCGCTATTTTGTTTTCTAGTTGATTTAATTTTTTCTAAAACACAACTAAAATACATCTTTTTTTCTTTTTAAATTGTATGTTAATTTTAGTTTTTAAACTCTAACTTTAAAATATTTTTTGTAGATCTGGACGAAACGGAAGGTCTAAAACCCGAAGTTCTGCGACAATGGTTCATAATTGCAGCAACCAGTTTAGATAACAATTTGAGGGTAAAAGTTGAGGAAGCTTTACAAAAGTTAAGCAGGAGTAAGTAGTTGTTCTTCTTTGATGGATTTTATGTTTAGGACATGAGACAGTGGTATTGGTCTCTCAATTGATTCGGACAGATAATGATATGAATGTTCAAGTGTTTGGAGCAACGTATTTAGCTAATAATGTTGACAGTTTTGTTGATATTTTACTGGAGAGCGATAACATGGAAGAAAGTGTAAGAAAAATTGGCTTATGGGTGTTGTTGGCATGGATAACATATGCCAAAAACTTGTGTATGTATTAAAACTTATTATTTTTTCAGTTAGCAACGTTGAAGGACATTCTGGGCTATGGTTTAAGCACCAACGATATGCCCTCGAACATCAGGGCTATATTGTTGAATGGGTTTTTCTCTTTTTACTTTTAAGGTAATGCCTGATGTATGGGAAAACGCAATCGACGAAATATTGCTCAGTCAAACCAATCCACGTAATGTATTGGAGTAAGTTGGTAATATGTATATTGTAGTAGGTAACTTTGTTTTAAATATTTTGTAATTTATCTTATTTCACTTTTTTACTTGGGGAGTAAATATAGTTTACTTTTTTGCTTATTTAGGGTGCTATCGAATGTCTACCGCAACATTTCACAACTTCATCAGTCGTTTTCGGTTAAGCGGAGTCGATCGGACCATATAACTAAGTTCAACCATCGTATCATGTCGTTTGTTTATCAAGCAATTCAAGAATCAGAAGATGAAAAGTTGTTTGAATGTGCTGCAGAACTAATAAAAAACTTTTGGACTTTAAATGGAGTTGAATTGGATACAATGTGGCCGATTGTAGAAATGTTGTTTGCTAGCGGAAAAGTTAATTACAAGTAAGTATAAGTAAACGTTGTATGTATATAAATATCGTTGATCTTGTTACTTTTTCTTCGTCTAATAAACGCATTTTCAGCACGGTCGTCCACCTAACAACTGGAATTCGGTTATTTTTACCTAAACAGCATCCTAAACTAACCTCTCAATTTACAACGTACCTCATAGCTTTTTCCAGGGAAAAATTGATGCCAGTGATGAAACGGTCTACTCATGAAGCTCTAACGGATGACAAAATAATTGATAACAGTGAACCGATGGAGTGTAATGCTGAAATTTGTGATTTTTATGGGTTTTTACTTTCAAACTTGGCCAATGTTGCCTTTTCCAGACGCAGCGAAGGAGAATCCTATCCTCAGCTTGATTTCATTGTGGAGTGAGTGCTGAGGCTTCTGGTTTATTTGAATTTTGTTTAAAAATTATTTAAAATGATGTTTGAATACAAATTTTTGGTGGTCATACGAGAGATAGTTTTATTTTGTTTTTTAGGAACATCTTTAATCACATGGTCAAATTAAGTAATCTTGAAGGCAAACCCGGTTCTGTAGACCAATTTTCCGAAGCAGCAGGAATGTTTTACAACAGAATGTACGAAGCTTTGACTAATGTTATTTATAATGTTGGTCCAGAACGAAGGAAAAAACTGGGTGCAGCTTTGGAGCCTGCTTTATCACCTACATTTGTCAAAAGTCGAGTTGGACCAGCCGATATCTACGATGACGAATTAGAAGCAATAGAAAGATATAGGGAATATATGGAAGATTTGGTATTGATTATGGACATGTTGAGCGATCATAACATAATTTCGGTCATGTTTGATGAATTGGCTAACGTTAGTAATGATATTGGTGCTGATGCTAGCGTTAGGATATCACGGTAAGTTGAATTATTAATTTTTTACGTAAAAATCAATTTTTTGTATAAAGCATTAAGGGAAGTTGACATTTTTTCGAAATTTGATGCTTTTTATGACATTTTTTCATGTTCCTGTTCTATTCAACCGTCCAAATATTTCTTTTTAGGATCACAGTAATATACTTTTACCTCACTAGCTTAGAATCCATACCTACGGACAAACTCTTACCTCAAGCAAACGTTTTAAGCGACACGCTAATCCTGATCGGTAGTTTAGATGTGTCAGAAGATGAAAAAGGTTATTGTTTATGTTATTTTTTGGCGTTTATTAGCTCATTGATTGAGAAAGACGTAAACTACGCACCAGTGGTGGCAGAATTCTTTGAGTTTTTACACCCTCACATTAGAAGCTTCCTACGGTATCCGAAGGCACAGAACTCGGCTTTGAAGCTTATTTTTACTTACTCGAAACATTGTCAAGTTAAAGAAGTGAGTTAGTATTTTAAAATCTAAATTTAAATCTATTTAAACTTAAGTATTAATACTAATTCTGACATTTTTAGTTTGCCGTCAAAGACCTATGTGAAGATATGGTACATTATGCATCAACGAACCGAGATCCAGCTATTCAAAAAATGGTAATGGCGTCATTGTTGAACTTTTTATGCGTTGAACCCGCTGAACAAGAATCAAAGGCCGATCAAATAGCCATATTCATACTAGAGTTTATTGAATCACGTTGTGAACGATGCGTACAGATTATGCAGGAAGTTACAGTTGCAACTCTTGGTGCATTTAGAGACCAAAGTCAGATTATTGGGTTTTTGGGACAAAATGCGAATGCAAGTAAGGAGCATTTTTTAATTTAATTTTTTGGATTTTTTAAATCGTTTCTTTTTGTATTTTAACAAGACTTTTAGAAGCAAAAGAAGTGGCAACTCCGTTGGTTACGATTTTGTGTGATTACCTAATCAAATTGTTCCAGTTGAATGTGCCAGAACCCGATCTGGTTGTAGTAAGTTTATTTTTTGTTCGAACATTATTTTAATGTTACTTTAATGTTTTTTAGTTTTCGAATCCAGTGGGTGCAATGGTGGACATACATTCCGTCCGAAAACTAGCCCATTATCAAGCGGACTACGCTTTCAGGTACCCTGATGTTTATATGAGGGTGTACAAGGCTGCGTTAGATGTAAGGGTTTTGGAATTTATTAATACTACTGTAACATTATGTTAACATAACTTTCTAAACTTCAGTTGGGACAAGAATTTGTGGTTTTTGAATTAATTCCGCATATTTCGGATCTGGTAGCACTTGTGTTTGACACGACATTGGAGCAGCCGACAGTTGTAAATGCAGAAGTCTCGGCACTGGAACTGTTTTGGTTTTTGTTGAAAAAGAAATACGCGCTTTTCGAAAAATATGTGGAGAGTAGATCTTCCGAAAGCCAACTTAAGGTACGTTGGGACATGGTTAGGGATGGAAAGAGGATTCACAGGACGGGTTATAATCGCTTTTTTTAGAATTTCTTACGAGCTCAAATTGGACTATCATTAAAAACCTTTTTGTACAGCTACAGCGACGAAGCAATTGGCAAAGGTCTGCGGGTACTACAGTTGTACGTTGCCCTTCCAGAAAATGTGAAAGCGTTGATGCCGGAGGGATACTGTGCTATGATTAAACCGATTTTTAATCTGGTTTTTTCAACTTTCTTCAGTTGCGGCCAAACTTCGATTGCTCAGCTTTTGGTATTTTTGGCCGAAAAGGCTCCGGATAATTTTAGGTAAGTTTTTATAGGCTTTTTTAAGCTAAATATAAATTTTTGCAGTTTTGTGGCATTTTTTGTCCGGAAGATTTTTAAAAATTTTTATTTGGGTCGCACGTGGCCTTCTCGAGAATATCTATATTATTTTTTATTGTAGAAACACGATCAACTCTCAAGAGCAACTACAACACATTGACGAAAGGAAACTTCTCCTTGGCAAACCGTCAAAATCCTTGTTTTTGAAATACTTTTTGAAATGGAATGCAAATTTCCTCAAAGGACTGCCTGTGAACTCTTAAATCGCCGAACTTAAACTGTTAAACGTCAGTGACTATAATGTTTAGTTCAAGGTAATGCACTACAATTGTGTAGTTACAACTATTATTGAATTCTGAAGAAAGACCAACAGTTTAAAAAATTTACTACAACAAAAATTGGCATGGATTTTTTACCTTGTTACTACAATGTTGTTAGTTTCTTGTTGTTTATTGTTACCATTTACTTTGGATTTGGCTGTTACTACTATCGTTTTTGTTGAATCAGGAATATTTTTGCCACATAGTGAATTTTTTTTATTTTACGGGTACAATAGTAATTAGAAGCTCAATTTATTAATTATCTTATTCATAATTTTTTATTTTTATTAGATTATAAATTATTAATAGTATGTGTGGTTTGAACATTGTAAGCGTTTTCGCGCTTGGAAACTACTGTTAATATTATCTTGAAAATGAAGGTTAATATTTACAATGTAAATAGTTTATTACTCCCAAAGTTTCAACGGTTTAAAAAATTTTGTTGCCATTTATTTTTGTATACACAACAAGCAGCTCTTTATGTTTTGTATAAAACAACGTATCACTTGTTATCTTGCCAAAACTCATCTAAACTAATAGCGGAAACGTTTTCCAACGTCCCAACCCGCGGCCTTTCGAAGCCATGTGCTGGTTGCGTACCGCGCGATCGATGCGACGAAGGTACTGTAACATTTCCTGTTTGTAACGTCGCTTCTCGGCTAATCGGCTCTCCCACCGGCGGTAGAGTTGAGCTTAACGCCTTGGGCTCTTTGGATATCGAACTCGAAGCTACACCGTCTTTTGTCCTTCCAACAGCTACAGTTTCGGCCGTTTCATCTTTTGTCGTGACCGTAACAGGCCCACTTTCATACAAATGACTACGGTCTCTCGGTGGCGATAACAAGTTGGCCGATGTTGATATATTATCACCTTTCACTGGACTAGTAGGTAAAGGTGTTTCTCCAACTCCTAATTCTGCTTCAGATTCCTCTGACAAAACAGGATCAGAATCACGACGCTGTATTATCTCCACATTTTGTTGCGAATCCCCTGGTTGATTTGGTGATGATCGGATTCTAGGAGATTGTGAACTTGTAGCTTGATATTGTTGTTGATGTCCTGTTGTATGTTGTTGTGGGTAGCCGTGCTCATGTTTTTCCGAATTGACGAACAATGAATCATCTAGTTGGAAGGTTTCCTCTTGTTCAGTTTTCTGTAACGCCAAACCAGCAGCACCACTTGTCCTACTGGCACTAACAGCGATTGCTCGTTTTACCGCGTCTGTCGATGTTGTTTTACCGGTGTCTTTTTTCTTTTTCTTATCTTCTGGGACCGGTTCAAGTGTTATTGCTGACGTACCTGGCGGGACTGTTGATGTAGATTGGCTGACGAGACGGCTGCCTTCCGACGCCGCTACTACGTTTCGCCGTTTTAACTTTTGGTATATTATCCATAAGATTATGAGCAGTAATAACAGGAGGAGAAGAAGAATGAGGAGTAAAGTGTAGTTGAATACTGGATCTTCAAAACCGTGGCGAAGAAGTGTGGCGGAGAGTTGGATTGGTACAGTGGTGCCGTCTGAACGTAATTTTTTAGTTCTCAAGTGATAAAAAAAATGAAATACCTTGACGTTTTTTGCAAATAAAAGCGTGGCGGTTCCGACAGTCATCTACAGTATGAGCAGTGTTATCTCGTACTGTCCAATCGAAAAACATACAGTCTTTATCTTTATGATCTCCTCGTGAAGCTGTTGATAAGCTGAAATCATTTTTTAAATAATGAAAAGTAAAAACAATATTTTAGATTCATTCTTCTAGCTTTTGGATTTACCCGTGTCTGACTAGAATTTTTAGTATGATGCTCATAGTGCTAATAAGCGTTTTCAAATCAAACTGCAGACACTTACTCATCTGGCCAAATAGGTACATTTGGGTCTATTGGATCAAACACTCCTTCTTTGTTTGCATCATTATATCCGATCCACGGGAACTTATGGCTATCTGCATATTTCCCCACTATAAACTGGTACTCTCGAGCATTCTCAATTGTTAACAAGTTTGATCTTTCGTAAAAACAATTCCTCTGTGATTCAACAAACGTGTAACCATGAGCTGAGGAGAACATCTTGTAACAATACATGTTTTCATCGTCGCGAATCCAATCTGATGGACAGCCGGGTATTACTAAAATGTTTTATAAGATAGGTTTTGATAATGCGATATCTTGTTATAGTAGGTTACTATAAAATGCTTACAATAATCAACAAATGACACATTGAACCCTCTCTGTTGCACGATATTATCCGAGTGGAAATGCACATACAATGAGTCTCCTGAACTCGTCAACGATGGTGGATAATACGTTCCACACCATCGTATAACTTCATCAGACGTCGGTAATCCGCCTGAAATCAAAATACGACATTAGTTGGTATTGAAAAAGTGTTAATAGTGCTATAAAAACTTATAATTGTGCTTAAAACTCTTAATCGTACTAAATCTGGTTTTGATTGTAAATCTGGCCTAGTAATTGGAATTTAAATTGTAAATCTAACGTGGGGTTTATTACTCTAATCTGGATGCCTAAAAGGACAATTTTTTATGTCTTGGAGTGTGTATATAAATGTGTGTTAACACGTTCTGGCCGGCCTAAAAACGTATGTATATATGTTTATTCGCTTTCTAGGTCCTAATGTATAAACATTTATTATTAAATCAACATGTATTTTACTGTAAAAATGTAAAAACATACCATCCTTAACACTAACATAATCCTCGCATTCCGAAAACAGCGGTTCTTCCAACTTTGACTCAATAACTGTCATATGAATACGATGTTGCATGCTTCGAGCTACCAATACAAATCGACAGTCCGTGTTGGGCGGATAAGTTCGTAGCTCGTCGTATGGGCTGTAAATAAACTGTGGATAGTCACTGCCGGTCAACACGATGGCATTCTCGGGACAGGGCTGTGGACCGGGTTGTGATATGGCAATAGGTTGAAAGACGACCAGTAGGAAGAGCAGGATTCGGCAGGCGGTGCTGGGAAAGACTTGATGCATGGGATTTCTACAAGGTGCATAACACCGCTGAAAAATTTAAATGACGCTTTAAACTAAAAAATTTTTGAAAAAAAGTTATTGTTCTTTGAAAATCATTGGTAAACATACGTTGTCTACGGTACGAATGGTGGTTTTGGCAGTTCCGAAATGAAAAAGTAGTACTCTTTAAACCAACTCCCTACTCTACAGATTCTAAAACACGATTCTCTTACACAATATTTTACAAAATTTAATTTCGTAGCAATATCAGATCCTGAATATCGTAGAAACTCCAGCTTTAGTAATAGTACAGTTAAGTCTACTTCAGCCGCAATAAAAGTACAGTAAAATGCGTGTAGGACGCGTAGTTTGGCAGTGTTTAAGCGACTGAATGGATTAAAGTTGTAATAAAACAAGATGCCCCAATATCCGGCTTGTTCAAAGGTGTCGTCCTTGGATTATAATTTGTCCATGGTTGACACGCAAACGTCCTTAAGTGGCAGATAATTGCTTCTCATGTAATTCTTAGACAGTGCATCGTAATGGCTAACGTGGTTGATGTTATAGTAGTTATGTAGTTGAAATTGGTTTTATAAATTAATAAAACAAATTTTTAGTATATCTAGTGTCAATATCTAATGTCTTTAATAATATTACCTAGTAGATCCAATAACAATATTGTTGAGAATTACTGAATAGCAATGTCGTCACAACAAAATTCAAATGTCGTCACAACAGAATACCAAAATGTAAAGCCAAAATACCGCAATTACATCAAAACAAACACACAAATTAAATCGTTTTTAAGCGGTCAATTAAGCACTTTGTACTTGGCCAAACGCAAAGTGCAGAAGCGGTTGGCCATTTACCCAGCGTCTAAATGACCAGTCCCTCCGGCTCGATTACAATCGTCATGGCAACGTTTTTACCTACACGGATTGCGCATAGCTGTTTTTATAGTCCGATATTAAAGTTCATGGGACATTTATGGGCATAAGTGGTACTCATGGTTTTACTGGCCGAAGAGGGGTTTATAACCGTAAAGCAATTTTATGTCAAGGGTTATTGTTATGTTGTTTTGGGTAAAGTGAGGATGAAAATAAGGTTGAGAAGTTATTTTTTATTTTGTTTTTGAGATTTTTAGATTTGAAAGTTGACTACTTTAATATACAGATTTATTTCTTTGGCTGGCGGTTTGTGTAAAATACGTTATCCTTTAAATTTCACCTTCCTTTACTTATTATTACTTAGCTTATATCTTAAATTTCAAACCTATCCCAACAAAAATAGATATATTTACTTTCGATACTATTTTACATTTAAACATTGGCATAAACCAGCCAATACCCTATGTGAAATAAAACAAAAAACAGTGGAAACGCGACTCTGGAGACCAGGTCGACTTGTGATGGCCGGACGATGAATTTGGTCACGGGTTCGATGGTCTCTGTCATTGACATTCGAGTACCAACTGGAGGGTGAGTTCGAGTTGGAGATAGGTTGATAAGAGGCATCGCTTGTTCTACCACACCGTTGTGAATTTGCTAAAAAGGTCAATTAAGATATTTTTGTGGTCTTATTAGGAAAATTGACGTATGTTTAGGTATAAAGTCAAACAATTTTTTTAAATTTTTCCTCCATCATCTTACAGAACGATAAGAATTTTTTCATAAAAACGTGTTTTTAAATGAAAATAGAGTATAAATTTGTTTTAAACCAACCTACCGGACTATGCGTCCGCCTGAAGCTGGTCCCACGCCGCTTCTCGCGTGTCGAGCCCAGACGCACTTGACTCTGGTCTTCAAACTCGTAGTAGTAAACGAGTTGCGAGTTCCCACGACGACAAACACTTGACCTCTGTCGTTTCATTAAATACCCAACAGCGGCGTACTCGAGAAGACTCGCGAACACTGAAATCAACAAGGATAACACGGTTTTCAACATGGATAACATGGTCTTGACGTCAATAGTGTATTTAAAAGGTGTTTAAGATGCACTTATGATACATATACGTATATAAAAGCTATTATATCTATTCTAAGCCTATTGATAAGCCTAAAGTAAACAGTTATTCATATAAAAAAGCATTCAAAACTACTTACCAATGAAGAAACAAACGCCCAAAAATATGTCCAAACTTTTGACATATGACACTTTTGGCAATGAGGCATTAGTCGAAGTCATCAATGTTGTTTGTGTCAACACCGTGGTGACACCGATAGCTACACGAGCTTGTGTAGCTTCTCTGTTGAGCCAAAACGATACCCATGATATTACAACTGAAAATATGGTTTTTAAGGTCTAATATGCTTATATTTATGTAAAATTTAACATATTGTAAAATACGGTGTCCCTTTTTGTTTCAGAATATGAAATCCTTTTCTAAGGTAAAATACGACATTCTTCAAGCGGCCTTCTTAACAATAGTTCACAATAACAAGTTTAAACCCTTACCAATTAAAGAGGACGGAAGATAAACCTGAATCAAATAAAATCCAATATTGCGTTTAAATTTGAAATACGTAGTAAGACGAGAGTAGTTCCCGGTACTTAATGATATCATACGTTCCACATGGAAGTGATCTTCAATGGTAAAATGAGCTAAATGAACGTTTTCGTCAATTATCACTGGCTTTGAATGGTGCCAATGGTACACTATGTCCGCTGTGCTGTAGCCGTAGCTCTAGAAGTTTAATAATACAAAGTTGGTCTAATATAACCCTTGGGAGATCTAATATAAACATATAAAAATATTTGGCAGTATTGTTTACTGTATACGGTAACGATTACACCAGACAACTTACCTCTATTTCAAGGGCACAGAGCTGCTCGTCCAGTGGAAACTAAAAGTATATGACATCAGAAAAATAAAATTTTATAAACATAGACCTAAAATGATTAAAAAATAATACTTAATTTACGATATATTAGGTGCCGACATAAAGAACCCGCCATACTTTTAGTGTAATTTCCTGTAAAAATTGGAGGGTTCTTTGTGTCGGCGACTAATATTATACTCCCGCATCTTCACAAAAATCCCCCCTTACCGTATGCAGATTCATAGGACAATTGGCAGTGACTGTAAGTCGTATACTTCGCATCACGTTCCCCCTGTTGTCGATTCGCAAAAACGAATTGTGAGAAGTGGTATCATGAAAGAATGATTTCTTTTCATTCGGAAAAAACGTATCTGGTGTCCATATGCTTTTTACCATGTCAATACCTACTGTCAATTTGGTTGTTTCGTCTTCTCGAACTGAAGTGAATGCGAGACGAGTATCTCGCCAAAATTGTCGTAGGTATAGGTCAATCGTGTAATCCTAAGGTTATATAGAGCTAGACATTATATTATTGGGTGTTTTGATCGTATTCTAGTATTAACAAATAACGATTTTCAAAAAAATAACATTATTTTTTAAAAATTTTACACTTTCCAAATAAAAATGTAAACTAATTGTAAAAACTTTTGCTGTAAACTACAGTAAAAGTATATAATTGTAATCAGGGCCGGGCGCGAGGGGGGGGAGGGGACGGAGGGTGTACCCCCAGAAAAAAAATTTTTAAAAAAAAATTGAACGTGGCCCCCTCCTGTGGATTTTCGGAAAAAAAAATTTCGCAAAAAATCGGCACAGGTAGCTCCTGTGCCGATTTTTTGGACCCCCGCCCCCGGACCAAAAGTCCCCGCCCGGCCCTGATTGTAATAATGACATTTATACGCCCGTACAAACTCACACTTACCATAGTAACCTCTGAAATGGCACTAATGGTAATGATATGTGCTGTAACATTCACTTCTGTTGGAGCTCCTGCAATGGATTCTTGAAGTTTTACATTTTATTTAAACTTTCTGTTATTTTATCACTGATTTTGTATGTTTTGACATGTTTCTATCTATGCCACATTAGCATTAATCAATTATGAAGGTTTTTACTTTACTCCATTATTTATATGTTGCCAAATACGAAAGTCAATTGTCATGCTTTTTTTCGTCTATCTTTACCACCAATCGTCTATTTGTTTACCCTAAGCCAGTGCATAGACAAAAAATGTAAAACATTTTTAGAATGAATTGTTTATACACAAAGTTATGTTAATCTTTAAGTGTATTCGAATGTTTACATCCCTTTTGTTTTAGTTCTTCGACTAAAACGTTCGAAATTATGCAAGCGTAAAAAAGGCAAAACTTAACAATTTAAGTTTGAAAAGAATTTTTAATTCATTGAGTTCTTAAAGAAAGGTTAAAAATTTTAATATATTTTGAAAATTTTCAAGCTTTAGCTCCTGAGTTTAGTAAGTTAAGTAATAAAACTGAAAAACAACAAAGTTCGAGTAGTTTCAGGCTTAGTCGTAGGCTTAGTAACGAACAGTTTTAATGAAGAAGTAACAAAACATCAGAGTTTCGTTTTATATTTATAGAAGGTAGATAATCAAAAGTCGCTTGTACAAAAAATTTTACCCTAAGGTTACTATAACTATCTAATTAATTCCCCATTTTTTCGTTACCTGTAAACAAATACTAGTCAAATTAAGTAACCACAAAATGCCTTCTTGAACATCGCAAAACAGACAACGTCACAATCAAATTGTCACCTTTTGTTCGAAAAGCAATTTTTTGCTTCTTTGTGGAAAACGAAACAATGCCCTGGGGCATTCTTCTTACTTTCCCATCACTTAGTGTCCTTAACGTCAATATAATTAACTATGTAGGCTTGGAAACATTCTTTTCGCGCTGAATGTTTGAAATTTTAAGTACAAGACTGTGAACGGAAATCGCAGTTTGTCACAAAAATTTTTGAAGAAAGCGGAAATTTGTGTCAGTGTTGAAAAAAAATTCTTAAAAAGGTGTGACAATAGTTTATACCCCCTTATTTATGCAAAAAGTTGTAAAAGATACTTGCAAGCACGTAAGCAATTACTTAACTGATATAAGCTTCTAAAGTGGTAACATGTTAAAACAAAGCACTCTTGGATTTGCAAAACATGTTATGAAGTTTTTATTAAACAAAACGTTATGAAGTTTTGTTTACAGTCATTAAAACACTGAGAAACGATAAAACATACCACCGTAGTTTGGTCGGATCCGCCTATCGTGGCTGGCAATTAATGAATCAAGGATTTTGCTAACGTTGAGTTCTAGCCGTTGATCATATGGTCTAAAATTGATACAATTTTAAATCACAGTAACTATCATAACAACAAAACATTAGACTTTATTTATTTTACTTTAGGCCTAACCCCATCGTCTGTTTTTATAAATTTAACTTACTTTGCGGGTTGCATGTTGTCAAAGCCATATTCTATTTCATTGTCCGACCTAGATGACATTTCTTTCATCTACAACAAAAATGTAATTATGACAAAATTATTCTTAAATTAAAATTATTTTTAAACAAAAAATTTAAAAAAAGTTACTAGTACTATCATTTACTTACAAAATTTTCATCGTACTGAACTTTCGCAGCTATAAAAATTGTAAAACAACATGTAACAACGATGTATACCCACATTATACATAGTTTTCTGCCATTTATTGCGGACCTCCTAAAATGCTTTTTAAATTTTAAATTTAAAAAAAAATTAAAATATGACTGTCACAAATGACAAACACGAGCAAACAGTTAAGGAATTTCGAGGGAAAAACTTTGTGAATAATTATTAATCTTCACGCCTTGTGACAAAACTTATGAGGCCAGGAAAGAACAATAGAGACAGAGTTTTGAGTGCAAAAATCAACATTTACAAAAATATGTCAAATTGGCGTTGACAACGGCGTGGAATTGTTAAAAAAAGTTCCGCAAAACTTGGAAAATTATCGACCATTTAAAATTTTAGCAAATCTGAGAAAACCACAAAGCGGTGTATAATATTAGGCTTTATAGAATAAGCAATAACAGTATGTTCTTATAATTTTAAAAAACACAATATGAACCTAACAACCCTTCTCACACATACTCATAACACTCGCCACTTCCTTCATCTATATATGTATTACATAAATGTAAATGAACCACGTATTTTGTAAATATTTACTTCCTTAATGATGGTATAATTTTATGTAAAAAAAATTTTTAAAAACACCCCTTTCCCCTTCCTTCATTCAAAAAAATTTTTAAAATTAATTTGACAAAAAAAATAAAATTAAGAGTTGTAAAACAACTTTGTTTTTTTATACCCCGTCTCTAATCCAAACCAAAAACACCCAACTGGCACTAGACCTTATCCCAAAAAGTTTACTTTACCCATGTGGCGTGTAATGTAAATAAATACTAAACAAAACAGTATAGTACACATGAAAAACAGTGCAATATGACCCTTGAGCAATCATGGTATTTAAAAAATTTGGATTGTTCATCAAAAATATAGAAAGTAAACCAAATATAAGCCTTAAAATACAATTGTTGCTTCATAACTATAAGTACTTTAAGTCCAAAGGTAAATGACAAAAGATGAAAGTTGAGTAAAGGGGGTGGAAAGCAATGTGCCGAAACAAAAGCGCGAAGAAACTAAAAATTAACGTCTTCAAGTTCCATGGACCTAGAAGACCAAGTTTATAGGGAAGCCTGAATGGGTTTCGAGCACTCCTTTTACTAAATCTTATTAAACACGAGAGGATTCAATAACAAGTTTGCCAAAACAAATCAATGCCAATTTTGTTTGTTTTTTGCACAACACATACAAGTGTAAGGGAGAGGGTAATACCTAAATTTGTTACGGTTTACATTTTTTGAGTTTAGAAGGGCAATTTTGGCTAGTCGTATTATAAAAAGTTTTATAAAAGCTTTATATTAGGTGCCGACATAAAGAACTCGCCATTTTTTACAGGAAATTACAGACAAAGTATGGCGGGTTCTTTATGTCGTGACCTAATATTTTCAAAATTTTTTGTAAAGCCAAGCACAAACCAGAGACTAAATCAAATCTAAGCCTAAACTTTAAGCCAACGCCCGCTCCCAATTTTTTTTTAAATCAATGTCAAATCCTAAGCCTAATTATAAATTTAAGCCTAAAACCAAAACTAATCCCGACAAACCAAAAAAAAAAGAGAAAAGCTTTATGTTCAGATAGGATTAAGATCCAGTCACCTTTAAATCATCGTAAAATCAACAGGACAATAAACAGCACGCTTTTATTTTCGTTTAATTTCCTTTTAATTGACTCACACATGCCCAACTTTAATCATGCCGGAAGAAAATAAATTTGGAAAAGTAATGGAAAAAACGGAATTTCCAGAAAAACGACCAAATTGCAGTCAATGTGCAAGATAATACCCGTGGCACATGCCAAGTTTTATGGTTTGAAATACTGTAGGGAAAGGCGGGTTTAAAAGTTTAGGTAACATTCAGTAGTAAAAATGCTCAAAATGGGTATGTATTATAACACCAAATGCACAAACTACATAAATATTAATAACTTTAAGTTTACTTATTAACTTATTAGGTGCCGACATAAAGAACCCGCCATTTTTTACAAGGAAATTACAGGAAAAGTATGGCGGGTTCTTTATGTCGACATCTAATAACGTGACAGATAAAATTGATTTGATGCAGAAAAAAAGACCTCATGTTAGGCTTAGATTTAGACACACTTAGGCTTAGACTAATAGATTTAACAATAGCCTTTCAAACCTTCATAATTCAGGATTATATACTCAAAGGGTACAACGCATAAGTAGTTCCGTACAGAAAATTTGAGCAACTCCCAGTACTCGCAGTAATTTGTTGGGTCGTTTTACATCGAGGCAAATATTACAAAATTAACAATATTACATAAGAAAACGTTGCGTAATACCATTTCTTGCAATTTCTCTAAGGCTATCTAGTTGTATAGTTAATATTAGGTAACCACGCGCAAATTTTAAATAATTAAATTCATATATAGTCTCCTGTATAACGCACTCCTCTATAACAAAAATCCCGTATAACGAACTTGCTTTTTTTTATGATTTTTTAGATTCAATCTTGTAGGTAGCCAAAATTTATAATTTTTTTAAAAATTAATTAAAACAGTCAAATTTGCACTCTCTCAAAGTCCTACCAAGTTGTTCACACTTCTGCAAAATCCCCTGAAAGACGACGTAATTTTTAACGTTTACAGTTTCAAAAAACTTTTTAAAACGTCAACATAAACGGCCATTTAATTTGAATTTGTCGGAAAATGAATTATGACCGCAGTTGGAGACAAACGATTAAAAACTGCTTTTCAAAAACATACTTTTTGAATCTTCTTGACTTGAAGTCCTCCTTCAATTTTTAGCGAAGAAAGAGGAAGGAACGGAACACAAAGTGTAATTGTAATTAGCTTGTACCTATCCGCTTTTTTTTTGAATGTCAATGAACTCTTTTTGTTCGGAAGGATGTGACATGGATGTGACAAAGATGTCAGCGAGTTATAAAAAATTGAACTTCACGTTATACGGCGTTTATAAAGTAAAAGTTGATAAATTTACAATCCATTTATATCAACACTGCCATCGCAAAGACCGAACTCATTACCGTAAAATCAACGACAATTTAACTAGTCCTAGCCAGAAAAATTCAAATTACCTACCCCAACCTCACAAATCGCTCAGTTTCTCATTTCCACACCCTTGACCAAATTACATTTACTTTGAACATCACACTGTCAAGAAATTACATCAACGATTGGATTATCCATAGAGTTGAGAGTGCAACATAAACGGCCGCTCGGCCCCGCCCCTCCGTATTTTGAGCGTGCCCTCGGGGCGGAAACCGTGAACACGTTGCTGCGGTGCTTCTAAATGCCTACGGCGTTTTAAAAATCAAATTTCCTTCAGCGAAACGTTGACAAAAGAACAAGAGCACGATTTGTGTGCAACACTACCGGCACAATAATGTAAAATGAATGTGTTTACTGCTCAATGATACATAGTGTAAAATAGTATTAGCGGGAAATGATAAATCAGGTTATTACTGAATCACGAATATTAAGTTATGCGCGGTTATTCATGTAAGATTTAAAGATCAAGGATTTTAGAGAAGAAGCGAAAAACACAGTAGAGTTCACAAAGCAATAGTTGTGTTTGACACGTTTCACAGAAAAACTTATAAAAAACATACTTATAAACAATTATATAGCTAACAACTTGTATAAGTAAATGAACAAGGATGAGGTAAAAGAGGAAGAACGAGATAGTGGTGTAAAAGATCAAAAACACATTACAAGCCGTAGAGTAAAAAAAACAAAATAAAAATTGTAATTTTGAAACCATATTTACGTCTAACAATCAAAACATCGGAAGGGGACACTAAAAAAAACTCAAAATCTATGTCAACTTTTAAAAATAAAAAAAACCCCTGTTTTTTACATGTACCTTTTATTTTACCTTTCTACCATTGAAATGTAAAAAAGAAAGGAAAGTTATTATAATGTACATTAGTTTAATTATCAAAGTTGTTTTGAAATTTTCTATAAATCTATAAATTTAAAGTGTTTTTCAATTTTTTATGTATAGTATTCTTAAGACCTAAACGACTTCCCGGAAGAGTAACACCAATATAAATCATTTTTAATAACTTATTGTTTTCAATAAAAAATTTCAAAAACTGAGTTTCAGCAAGGATATTTTTACGTTTTTTTCAGAAAAAGTTGCTTATTTTTATAAAAAATTTTTAAAAATTATTTAAATATATTAAAAATTTAAAAACAAAGTTGTCAGCAAATATTTTTCACGAGCTTGAGGATCTGTTTTGAATAATTATGTCCTAGAATTTCAATTCATTGCCATGACGATTGAAAGTAAACATAGACGATAGCGTGTTAAAAAAAGTTGTAATTTATACGGTTTAACTTTGTCAAAGTGTCGTAAGCAACACTATCGTATATATATATTTTTCAGCAAGCAGATAATTTAAACTAAAACTATAGTTAATTTTAGTATAGTAAAACTCCTGTATGACGAACTCCTCTATAACAAAACTCCCGTGTAACGAACATCTTTTAAATCTCTTGGCGATATGTTATACAGGAGTTCCACTGTATAAGACCCAGGCTTATCATTAGGCTTACCTCAGGCCTAGTTCTAGGCTAGAAAGCCGGCATTCAAATAAATTATTTTAAAAATTCTATTTATAATAAAAGTAACCCATTTCAAACTTTTTATGCAAAACACTGTAAAAATTCCGAAAACTTTTAAAGTGGGTGGAAAAACTTTTTTATATCCCCAAGACAAATCATTTACATAGCAGTTTTGGAGCAAAGATTACAAGTGTTACGTTGAGTTTTGGTGTTCAGTCATCTTCTGATTTACTCGTCAAACTTGACATGGTTATTTAAAACTTGGACTTTTAAAATTTTTAAATTTTTGATCTTAAGGCGTAATTGGAGAAGGGGGCGGGGGAATAAAGAAACCTCATCGAAGGATGGGTAGTGGGAGAAGGAAAGGGAAGAATTGCTACAAAAATCCTTTTGTTTTGTAGTATAGCATACAAAAAATATTGTATATGAAACACACAATCTTATGACTGTCTAAAGCTTTTTATTCTATTCTTTTATTGCTAATTGGTAAAATTTTGTATGTAAATTTGAAAACACATGTTTAACATGTTCGCCTTTAACCGGTTAAAAAGTTTTAATTGCCACATGGTCAATTAATGCTTGTTAACGCATGATATCTTGATCATAAAATTAAAAAACATTTTTTACTTAACTTGCAAATACTACTGTTACTATAGTATAGTAATGTACCATAGTCTGTCTCTTTATCCTAACGTACTTTAACAAACGGTTTATTAAAAAAATGTGACCAGATTAGATTGTCGATATATGGGCACCGATCATACTTAGAAGTAAAACAATATAATAGATAATACATCAGTGTACATAGTAAAAGTAATGGAATGTAAAGAAGTAAAACAACAAAAATATTAAAGTTAAAGACGTTAAGATATATATTGTGATTATAAAAAGTAAAGTATACATAAGACATACAAACAAAAACGTAAAATTTACAGTATTAAACACGAAAAATATGGAAAACACAGTATGTTGATACAAATAAGATTAAGCTTACAGTATCAAACAAATTACTTTATGAAACTGCAAAAAAACAGATGACAGTAATAAAACACAGAATATTGTAGAGATCAATAACCCAAAACACTGAGATTACTATGGTAGATCGAGATATCATGCAATAAATAAAGTGAAAGATTACAGATTTACAGTACCGGATGGACTGAAAAAAGTACGATAAATAAAAAATCCTATACACATAATTGTGTAGATCCTCGTGCTTGCGCCAGTTGATGTATACGTGCTATAGCTTTGTCCAAAACTCCAGCCGTCTTACTTCCACTGTCACCGGACTCATCGTCCTCTACTGAGGCTGATCCCTTCAGCATGTCATTGATTTCCTTAAAAAATAATTTTTTTATAAACATTAGGGCAGCAAAAAATTTTTTAAAAAATTTTTATCTCCCCCAACCCCCTCCCTCCGTAGCAGCGTGCCTGTTTAGTCCCATCCTTTTTCACATATCCCCCACCTCACCCTTCAATTTTGAATCCACGTAATTAAAAAAAACATACGTTACAGTAAGCCAACAACTCCAAGTCAGCAATAGTGCCATTGTTTATCGACTCGATAAAAGCTGCATCAGTAACCTTTGAACGGTTTCTAGTACGGTGGTTGTGAAACCAGTTGGTGATTGTTTTCGATGGAAGCCCCAAAATTCGACTCAATCCACTAATAATAGTCGGATTTGGCCTGGCATTTTTCTCGTAAACGTACAGTAAGGCTTCTTTTTGCCGCTCAGTTATTATCGTTCGTTGGAAACGCTGAAATTATTATTACATGTAAATATACTTTTAAATTTAAAATTTAATACCTAAAAATTTATAAAAGCGAAAAAAAACGTATTTTAAAAACATTTAAAATAAACCTAACAAAAAAACAAAATCCTTACCGGTTGTTTCTTGGCTGGCGTCTCCTCTACACTATCTCCGTTTTCTTGGCTCGTTTTTCTCTTCTGACTCCTCAATTCCGTCTCTGATTTCATTCCCTTATGAACAATATCCAATTGTGCCGTCTTTAACCGCTCCACACCATCCGTGTCATTTAAAAAGCCACTCAAGTTGTTCAACACGTTCACATCTACGTTATAGTCCTTGATTGTCATGAATCTTTCAACTTCTCCACATTTTTCTGGCAAATAATTTTTGACAAACACATCGGTCGAAATACACTCGGTCTTTAGTTTATCCTTTATATTCGACTTTACTTCAGCCGGATTCGTTTCAATGATTTGAATATCATCATCGGACTTCACGCTACTACACGATTCAAGAAAAGACCCGGCCGTAGCGTGTAGATCTTCGAAAAGCTGTGAATATTGAGAATCTTTCTTATCGTGATATCGTTCGGCTTCGTCCAAGAATACCCTCATTCTGATAAAAGGTTCTTTTCCTTTCTGTGTTATATTATTCCAAGGCTTAGGTCTAGCAAGAAGGTCTGATACTGATCCTTGAGATAACAGTAGTACTTTTTCTCCAAATTGTCGCTGGCTAATACCGTGATTGTTTAGATATTCCTTAACTTCCTTTACCAAATCTTCCGTATTCAAATAAGTGTACTTTTCAAAATGTTCTTGACTTAAAAACAACTGTTCCGTTCTTAAGGCGTTTTTGAGTAGATCAGATTCAGAAAGTGGAGAAGGTTTCTTAGATTTAAATATCGGAGATGTCAACTTTTTTGGTGATTTATCAGCAACTTTTGCCCTCTCAGCTTCCAAAATGTTGATAATCTTTTCAGTCGGAATGTCGTCGTGCTTCCATCGGTTTGTCGATTTTGTAGATGATGATGACGATCCAACGTATCTTGTCTTGATTTCAGGCGACTTCATTCCTTCCGGTTTTTCGATTTCAAATTCAACCATCCGGCTATCAGGCATTTCGTAATTGACTATATGATTGCCAGAGCTTTCATATTTAGCCAATCGACTGCTATGGCCATCATATTCACCTGAACTATTGTCAGGAGCTTCGAATTCACCCAACCGACTGTCGCAAACTTCAGGCAAGGGGCTCAGAGTTTTACCGTAAGTTTCAATCAAAGATTCAGCTGATGGATGATCAACTTTCTCCAATTTTGTAGTAGTTTTTCTGGGCGATAAACTGTGAACAAGTTCAATGGCTTCATCGTCAGTTAACCATCCGAATATCCTTCTGAAGGCTTCTCGTCCCTTGTCGGTTAACCGATTCCACGGCCTCGGTTTAGACAACAATTCCGACAACGATCCTTGAGATTTGACGACTTGATTCATAACAAATCGTGCGAAGAGTCGTTGACCAATATTATAAGCGATCATGATCCTCTTACATTCTTTGGCAATCTCAACGGTATTCAGCGCGTGATTACCTAATCGTGAACAACTTAATGCTATTCGATCTTGCAGCTTCTTCACTATCTTTTGCTCTTCCTCAGTCAGTGGTTTGGGGCCGCTTGGAGTTGAGGTCGATGCGGTCGGAGTTGGCTTAGTGTTATTGTCCCAGAATTCGATCTTGATGTCGGAAGAGCCAGCGTCACCGTTGTTGATCAAAAGATTCAACAGTTCTTGAGTGTTAACCGCCATTGGATCTTCTTCCACAACTTGAGGTGTGAGTTCGCGTTCTTTCCATGCCGAAAATTGAGAAAGATCGTTGAAATCGACGGCCGGAGACTCAGATTTCGATGCGTCTGGATTGAATTTGGCCAAAAAGTCAATGAAGTCGCTCGCTAAAATTACTAGATCAATATATGAATGAAAAATTAGTATGCTTTAGCTCGGCTAGCTAAAAACCCCAAAAATATGTTTTTCTCTGATTTTACGACTTGAGTCTCAACCCGAAAACAAACCATGCCATTTATTTTTGCTTTATTTTCTATGTAGTACTTTCGATACTAAAAGATCGGCCAAACCGGCAATAACAGTCCTTTAAATGTTTCTTACCATTTGGGTCAGTTAAAAGGGCGTTCCATGCAGTATCGTCAGTGTTTGGAGGTTTAGGTTTGTCAGTGTTGTTCTCTTTAACAAAGTTATTCAAAGCGGACAAAATATCGTCGGCTGACGATGGGGCCATGTCGGAATTGTTGCACAGATGCAGAAGGTCAGCCATGATATTCGGATTGGAATTTTTGGTTTTTTTCCTGAAATTTTGATAATGTAAGTTCGTGGTTGGTTTTATAATATTTTAGGTAACAAATTTTACAAAAAGTTAATGCATATATATTTTGTAACAAAAATATTTATGACTCATTTTTATATTAAAAAAAAATATTTTTTTACCTTGATACATATGTGTAAGATATACGGTTTGCCCTGACATAAAAGGCATAATATATGAAGTAAAAATTCCAAAATTGACTCACTTGCTGGCTGTTTTCTTTTTCTTCTGCATTATATTTTCGCTCTTCTGACATGAACATGTTTGTTTGGCCTGAAGTGACGTGTTGAGTTGGTGATAGCGATCCAGCTCGCTCAACAATTCCCCAATCCGCGCCTCGTAGTCGGTGATCGTGCTAGTCATTGCCGTTTGCAAACGTTTATTGTCTTTCTCCAGCTCTTCGATTCTTTTGTTCTTCTCCACCAACAGCTTTGTGTACTCCTTGACCGTTGTGTTTTTGTCGCTAATCGAAAAAATGGCTTCATCGTCTTCGGCACGCTTCCCATTGTGATTCTGAAAGAAGTTATTGAAGGCTTGGGTAAAGTAGCATATGTTTTTTAATTTTTTAAGCAAAAACAAAAAATAATAAACTGTAAAAATTTTTAAATTTCAAATAAATTTTCAGTTAAAATGCTAACGTGTTTTGTTTTTATATAAACACATCAAATTTTCCATCATCTTTTATGCCTAATTAATTTTTCCAGTTTATTTATCCCCACCAAAAACCGCAAATAATATTCCACGTACCGAAGAGGGTGACACATTCGTGCTTGTGATACTGATGATGTCGCTTTCCGAGGACCCCGAGTCTGTTGACATCTGAAAGAAAACAAACATTTGGAAAGGAATGCATTTGAATGTACAGTAAAAATCAAAACACGAGCAAGGGGGAGGGTTTCGTTCTCTTCATCCTGGCCCGCGAGCAATCGTTTTTCGCCTTTTTCGAAGAATGGCCAAGAATGCTTTAAGCGAGCGTTATTGCCCCTACGGCCCAATCCCCACCGATCAATTGGTTTATTTTTTAGCACGACTTCAAAATTCACAGTTTATGCGTTTTGTATAAACGAGCAAAACAAGTTGAGGCTTCGGGTCAGTTTAAAATTAAAAATTTTTTTTTGTTTTTAGTATTAGATCACAAGGCAAATTTTGTATAAAAATTTTAAATACAAAACAAATTTAGAAAATTCAAATGTCAAAAATAACAAGCACAAATGATTTCAACATCGCAGGACGCAAAAAATATCTTGATTTGAATATAGCAATACTATTGGGATTACGAAAACCGAGTGAAAGCCGGCCAAAATGGGCAGGTATTCGGCTCTCCCTGACAACCGGGCCGATTGAACGAGTACTGGGCCAAGGAAAGCGAGAAACTTGAAAAAGGGGACTAGGTAATCAGAGAGCGGCCGAAATGAGCAGGGCCATTGACCTGCCAAATAAGGAAAGGAGAGAGTGACGGCCCGTAAACGAAGAATAATGTAAAAAAAGAGATACAAAACTTGAACAAATACGAAAGTACGTTTTGGCTGTAAAATTTGTTACAATTGGCTAGATTCATGTTTTGTTTTAAAAGTAAAATAACAAGTTTTTGTTAAGTGGAATCCTTTAAACTTTTACATTTGATCTGCCTATTACAGTACACAGAAAGGAATAGTCAAAAAATAAATTAATGTTTTTGAGTAAACTTGAGCTTTCTCCGCATGATCATAAACAAATTCAACGAGGAATGAAGGGAAAACTGGCAAATCGGCCATACTGAATGACGAAAAAGGCCAAATCGGCCGCCCTGAATTATCTAGCATCTGACCGGCTGAAGTGGATGGTCGGCGCTCCCGACAGGAAAGCCATCAACTGGGGCCCCACAGGCAGAAAAGGAGAGGAGAAAAGCGAAAGGAACTGCCTTTTTCGGCAATCAATTCTCCTTCAAAAACCAGCCGTGCCACAGGGCTCAGATCGAGAAAGGCGGCCCGAAATGGCTGCCTCGGTAACGCATTCAGTTGTTCAAGGCTTTCACTCTCGCGTCTTTATCTCGTCCACTACTTGTGTCTCGTCACCGTGACCATGCCTGGCCAAACACTTTTCTCGACTAATCGAAATCGCCCTAGAAAGGAGGGTGTTTGCAGCACGTCGAAGGGCTTGAACTCAAATCCCTTTTGTTAAAAACATATTAAAGATTTAAGCGTTTGATGATTACAAAAAAAGAATTTAAAAGGAAATATTAGTTATAATCAAGAACGGTTCGGAAACGATGGTATATTTGATTTGTCTATATAGCAAAATAATGCTTAAAAAGAGTTTTGAATCAATTTAGATATTATAATTTTTTAATTTTAAAATCTATCTTAAAATTATTGAACTTCAAACACTCAGGTAATTAAATGCCAGAATACAATCAACCCTATAAAAAAACTTTGCATCACATTGAATTTGAGCGATTAAACGATAAACGGAAACTAGACCCCCAAGAATTGGATGCAAGAAATGAAAACAGCCGGTGACTGGTCGAGGATATTGCCTGAAGGCAAAGGAAATGCAAGCGTGATGGGTTGACCGGTAATATGAGGCCACTTCGGCGGGGTAAGGATCGTGCTCTTTCAGTGCTCTCCGGCCGCCCCTGCTCCCATCGCCGAGTCCTTCTGAACTAAGCCCGCACAAATCCGGCATTCACTTGCCTCGCTTTTGGGGCCAGCGGCGAGAATGGATTTCCTATTCAGGGCCGCCGCAAAATCGAAGCCGAACAGAGAATGCCTTGAAAAGGAGTTGAGGCCAGCCGAAGACGCCCGACAAAAACGTCGCTATCTTGATTTGGCCTGACCATTTTGCTCGCCCTTTTTACTGCATACAGGCCGGCTTGAACAAAGCCCTGCGGATTTGTGTACGGATTCAGAGAATCGCGAGTTTTAAAGATTTCGAAGACACATGAATTTGACGACTGTTCGTATGCTTGCTAAACTCGGTTTTCGCGGCCGAAAAGGCGTTGAATAATCGATGATCAGCAGGGTGTGAATATTGAAAGGCACGTTTTTAAAGTTAAAAATCTAAAATATTCAAACTAAAAGCATATAATGTGTATAAAAAGATCAAGCGGAAAATTATATGTGTGATCAAGAGAACACAAAAATAAATGATCAGCTGGTGGGCGCGAAAAAGCAGGTGCGCGTCTTGAACAGAAGCGCATGGCACCGGGCGCGCGATCAGAATTAATTTCTCGGACGGCAGGGCCACATCCCGAAATGGACTTGGCTTTTATTCGAATTGACTAGATCAACGCCATCTGTCCATGCGCTCAAGTCCAAATACCCTGAAACGATTCGAGGCCCCGCGAACCTCTTTCTTGCCTAAAAGGGCTGGCACTATTTTACTGCTTCGAGAGCATTTGATATTGAATCCATGGACACGGGGCCGTATTTGCTCTTTTCTTGCGGCAACTGATCCCACCGTATTCCGTGCTCGCTTTCACTTCCGCACACCCGGCTTCTTAGAATTCAATCTGAACGCACCACCAAAAGCAAAGAGACATAAAATCGGAAGCGAAAAACCTCTTCAAATGGCCAATCAGTGGCCCGAAGACCATTGATTGGCTTGCAAAAATGTTATCATAAGCCCGAAAGAGCAATTAACTCAACCAACTGACTAACTAGTCCTGGTGTCGATCTCATCTCACCCCTTCTCCTTTTCATTGTCAACCGGCCAGATAATTAAGCCCCGAGGTGAGAAAAGGGAGTGGAAAGTGGGACGGCGTGGCATAATTCATATTCGCACGAGTGCCGAGTGACGAGAACATCGAAAAAGGAGTGTTGTCGGACGAACCGGCAGACTAGGTTCTTGCAGATCAGGGCCCTAACAAACCCAAAAATTAAACAGCCGCAGGCTTCGGTTATAATAAGAAATTCATCACCGTTTGGACAAACATATCATAAATTTTTTCTTTGATAAATTCTTATTACGCAATACACCTATGGGCTTATAAAATCACAGTCAAATCGGGCATTAAAGGGATAATCTGGCAGAGCGGGCAAAGTCATTGTACGGAAAAAAGTGAGAATGGTGGCGTAACAATCCGTTTTCCATTCACTTTGCTTGATTGCACCTGCTTGCACTAGAATTAAATTTATCGAAAAATGCGCTGCTTGATTTCGAAGCAAAAATCAGATACTTAATAGTGTCGAATGCCAAAAACAAATACTTGTGCCAATTTTGCGCCAAAATTAAATTGGGCCAATTCACGTGCGCGATGGGCCAGCCAAAGCATTCTCAGGTCCCCAAAGGCTTCGGCCAGAACTCAAATCACGGGCTACTTCGGCCCGAACCGTGGCGGCCGATAGGTGCGAAAAATGACTGGGCCGCTTTTTTGAGGGGCCATGGCTCTCGTTTCTCGCGCTCTCACCCCTCATTACCATGATCGGTGGGCCGGGAGTTTTTGGCCTCGAGGGCGAGAGCTTGAAATGAGACGAATGAGCCTGACAAAAAAATTGCAAGGCGAACACTCCAAAAATGGAAATCGATTTGGTTCATGGAAGCGGGGGCCGCGAGGAATAAAATGAATTGGGCGTGGAGATGGAAGCGGAGTGGTGGGGCTGGGACTGACATTTGCGAGGATGCAGCTGCCGTCCTTAAATGGAATCGCGGATCAAGGGATCAATCCCGGGCCCTTCTTCTCCGCTCTCTCGTTTCTTCAATTTCTTTTTTCCGCTCATGGAGAGAAAAACGAGAAATAAGATCTACTTCTTCCTTTCGCCCTCTCGCTTTCCCCAGGCCCTTATTTGTTCAGGACACGTCCTCGTGGATTTCGATCACGCTGAATCACACTGAAATCAAGTTCGAATCTTTGTTTTGAACTGTTTGAATCAACAAACAGTTTATTAAGCGTATTTTTTTGCTGATTAAAGCGAAATCTTTTAAAATATACGGTGTTTTTAATGCAAGCAAAATGTTTTTTATAACAAAAATTAACTTAACTGAACATTTTTTGAGTGTGCAATTTAATCGATAGATCCAGAACTTAAGTTGTTTTTGATTTTTTACTTGGTTGCGTAAAACAATTTTTAATAAAATTAAAATTGAAGGCATTAAATTAAGAGATTCACCGGTTTTAATCTTACTCGGCACACGAAAAGTCGGCCGAAGGCTTCCTCTATCTTTCTTCTTCAAAAAAACGGAGCTCAAAAAGACGGATCGCTCTCGAATTTCGACCCTATCCAAAAACGGACATTGCTGCCAGGCATTAGATATGTGACGGTGTGTTATATTAGAAAGCCGGATAAATACCAAAAGTCCTAGAATCGAATAAAAATTTCTATTGGAAAAATAAAGTTTGATCAGAAAAAATTGTTGAAGTTAAAAGTTTAAAAAATGTAAATATACCAACAAAAATTTGAATATTTCAAAACAAATTAAAGATATAAAATTTTAAAGATAGATATAGTTTACAATGTTTACTTTTACATCGAATGAAATTTCGATTTTACTCTTCTGCTATTACTGTTTTTTACTCTGACTATCTGATCGTTCTTTTCTCACGTTACAATCCTGATTATGACAGCACGAAGCCGCTCGTCGACAGGAAACCAATTTTATGCCCTCGAGGCAAATAACCATGATTGTAGCAGCATTTCCCTGTTTTCTTTGCTTCTCTACCCCCCGCCCTTCTTCATGCATGAGCCGCGCTCTCCTGGCCCTGATCTTTTGTGGCGGGTCTCGAGGCCAGCGGGGGGAGAGCGAAAAACGAGAAATGGCACCGCAAATGGGCATGGCCCACTTGGCCCCCAGAAACGCGCCCTCTGCTCGTTAATCCCGGAAATATTGAAGATCATACGAATATAAATCGTGACACGTTGCTTCGCGCTTAATGGATGGCTATGGATGTAATGAAAAAGTGATCATAGCAATATAAATGTAAATGGATATGTTTGCGGTGAAGAGGAGAACATAGTACTTGTTGTAAGCAAACAAATTGAAATTTACAAATACACATTACTGCAGGGATACCATAACACAAATGTTTTAAATCTCGGACTGAAACATAATGTATTTTATTATTTTAAAATAAAGAATTGTAAGGACATGCTATAAAAGTGGTTCGACAAATTTTTTGTAGCTAACATAATTGACGAACGTTTTTGTAGCCGTGCTATTTTTTATCTTTTCATTGTTAGTTTGTATACATGATTTTGTATTCAATAAATACATTATCAATTTATAAGTGTAACCTTAAAAGAAGGTCTTTGCAAAAATATTCGACTTACTGAGTTTTGTATTCGTCTTTTTTTGTATTTTTACCAGTATTAGTCACAAACTATTTGACGTATCTACTATAGTATTCGTATTTGAAAACTGCCTTTAACTAATGTAATCAATCTATTTTTGTTGCACTTTACTAATAAAAGGTCAGTAATGTTGGCCATTAGGCTTACCCAGTGTTATTTCGAATATTTTGATTAGGGTTTAATCGAAGCCGCGCGAAAACCTGAGTAAACCCGTGTTTCGCGCTTAATTCCGCGCACAAACAGTCGATTCTATTGTGAGAATAGGCCAATCTGGCCCGGGTCATTCTTTCACTAGGTCTGATTTGAAGCCGGTATCTCTTCGATTTCTACTTTATATCAGGTGGTGTTTAAAGTGCAGCTTGAATGAACTAGTTTTGTGTTGGGTTTGAGCTTTTTGATTGCTACTTCTTTTGTATTTCTATTGAGATTCTTGTGATGTAAACTAAATATATTAATATAATTTTAAAATAGGAAATGATTATACATTATTTTTACTTTTAAATTGCTAAAAAATTACTTTTTTATTTTTAATGTTTTTCATTACAATATTATATACCAATTGTCTTTTTAAATAATTAAAATCGCTATTCTTCAATAATGTGCATATTACGGTAGTTTATTAATAAACCAAAGAATGTGGCAAACTAGTGATTGTGACCGTTGTAACGGACATTTTCACATAAAGACATGTCCGTGTGCAACGTTTACAACCACTATATTCACTGGTTATTACAATATTAAAGCTAAAACACAATGCTAAGAAAGATACAATATCCTATATTCAGTACTATTACGAAAGTTGCAGTGTTGTAAAACATTAGAAACTGGGCTATGTATTAAAAAGTGTTTTGATGTTTTTTACCTGGGCTATTAATATGAAAAAATTAAAAAACTGCACCATGAGTATTGCTTTGGTCGTACAATTAATTTCGCTGTTTCTACTCTTCTTGACATGGAGGTACCAACAATGATGGTATGATCACATGGCCCATGCTCTTTTGTGTATCCATGTTGTAGACGCTGAGGAAGTCAATGTCAAAAGTACGATAGGAACGAGGTAGGCGGAGAAGAACATCTTCGTTGTCGTAGCGGCGGAGAGGGGTGTTTCTAAAAGTTTTTATAATGTAGAGGTTTTTTAACTTTTATAAATTTGTTTATTTCTTATTTTTAGCTTTCTAATTTGCATATAAAGCACTTGGAATTAGCGTAAAACTGAAAAACAGCTGATAACTCACGGTTGTTCGCCGACAATGTTAATCTTGACTTGTTTTTCGATTTGATCGGGAAAGTCGCCAATCCCAGCGACAAAGAAGGAATCTGTAAAAAATGGTCAATAAGTACAAAAAATACAGTATTTTTTCTATTTAAAAAAAATTTTCAATATTTAAAAAATTTTTAACATACTTCTAGCGTCCGTTCCAGGCTCAAAAGTGAACCCAGGAACTAAAATTGTGTTACAGTTTAAAATATGAACACGGTATGATGAAATGCCATTAGTCCAGCCACTTAACGGCATGATTCGCTCTTCTCGAGGAGGATCGACTCCTCGTAACGAAACGAGTTTTAAGTGTCGCTGAAATTCATGTTTTTAGAAGTAATTTAATATTTTTTTAATTTGATTGGTATTACCTAAAAATTTTAAAAAAATTTAAATTTTTAAATTTTATTTGATTTTTTATACCTAATTTGTACTACTTACTTGCTCACAATGATCATAAAGTCCAAACCAGTGATAATCACTCAATTTGGCTCCATTTTGAATAGAGAAGTATACTTGTTTTTGATGAATTTCTGGCAACGCTAACGCTTTGTCAAGCGGGGTAATCTTTCTGGTTGGTACTGTATATTGTTGTTGGCCTTCTTCAGCTAAAAGCTGTTTTAACACACGTTCACGATGATATTTGTGAGGATCATCGATGACTTTCCATGTGTGCTGGATTTCCTTGTCTTTAGTTTCTGAAGTAGGTTTTAGGCATCAATTTTAGGTATAAAAATGAAAAAAAGCTTCTTTTTTTTTATCAAAGATAACTGGCCTAATTCTTTATAAGATGCTTAAAACCTACTTGTATCTCTAACTGGTGCTCTTCTGAATTCATTTGATTCTTCTCCTAATTTTTGCAGCAGGTCACTATATTGAACGTCAAGTTTATATTCTCCTTGAGACCGTGATGGAATCTGAAGGACGTCTGGAAATTCGCTTTCAAAATCATCGTTATCAGCATTGTTCAGTGGGGTCTTTAATACTCTTGGATGCTTTACTGTTGTTGTTACTGGTGGTGCTGTTGATGTGGGTCTAAAATTATCGTTTTTAGAGAATTATTGTAAAAATTATACTTACAGTGCAATGATAATCAGCTTTTTAGTACTAGCTTCAGTCGTTGTTTGAGTAGTTTCTGGTCTTCTTGCTGTAGTCTCAGCAACTTTGGTCGTATTTACAACAAGCTTTTGAGTAACTGAGAAAGTTCTCTCTACTTTAGAAACATTGGTTGCAGGTGTTACTGGTACAGGAATACCAGCAACAATTTCAGAAACATGTATACTTTTTTCTTCTTTTTTGTTTAGCGTTTCCAGCCTTGTTGACTTTACAGGTACTGGAGTTATTTGTGCTTGTACTATCATTTGTTGTCCGTGAGTTCTTTGTGAATCATGAATTTGGGCAGAATCTGGTCTTGCCGTGGAGTTTTGTGTGGACGGTGTAACACTTGATGTTAATATAGCAGACCTTACTGTTGTAGATGCTTGAGTAGAAGATGACGGTAGTGTTGACGATGCTGAAGAACTTACTGGATTTGCTGTAGTTTTGTTCTCTGACACAAAAACGGTTTTTGTCGTAGATTCTGAGTTTGTCTGTGTAGAAAGAGACGGTGTAGAAGAAGTATTAGTGTTAATAATTTGTCTATCAGCAAAAGTAATTGCTGTAGGGATAGCCAATGTTGTAGCAAGCTGACTCACAGCAGAAGGAGTAGAAGAAGCTTGGATATTAATAGTAGAACTTTGTGTACTACTAGAATTTTCAATAGGTGTTATATTGATTTCAGTTTCGGTCAAATTGTTACTTCCTCGTTGAATGTGAATTCCACTGAACGAATTTGGTGCAATTGAAGCTGTAGGCAATTTGCTTCTGTCGGGCGCAACCAGCAAGTGATCCAATTGTGCAGGCCAGTTTAACATATTGTTATTAAACAATTTGTTAACGTTTCGTCGCAATCTTCTTCTAAACAACTTTTTCTTTTGGCTACGTTCAAAAACGACCGGTGCAGGTGGAGCATCATCAAATGGAGCATCAAAACTCTGACTGACTGGTACAATAACCCCATGACCAGGGATTAGAGTTTGGCCTTTGTCTTGAGGTCGAGGTGGGCCCAACATCATGGCCGTGCATCCGACCACTTTTGGAGCATGATTGAGGTGGTTAAAGAAGATAGTGTATTCATCGTACGCATATATTTCTCCACTAGTAGCATCTGAACTTAGGTGTACACCACTTAATGGAATACCGTAGTATTTGTCTAGGTCTTGCGCAGTTACGACGACTGAAAGTGTATTGAAGTAAAAAATAAACAAATGGTTGTTTTTGTAACTTTTGCTTATAAGAATAGAAAAATTGGCAAAAAAATGTTTATGTACTTCTGATCCTAAGTGTAACGACCAATAGATACTCATTATTACAAAAACAAATAGTGCCTTACCAAAGAGCAGCCAAACCCGTATCATGGCGTTATTTACCATGCCGCGACGGAAAAAAACAAAAAAACTTTTGATATTCTTTTGCAATCAGAAAGCGGTCAAGAAGCTCATTAAAAAATGGAATGGACGGATCCCACTTTTTGAGATAATTCAGGTCACATTCGTTTAATCGGCACAAAAACAGCTTATCATTTTTATTTTCACTACTACCTGGATTCGATATCGTTAACACCTGATATGTGATATATTTTCTAAACATTCCTGGATTGAAAAAAAAACTTTAAGGTGTTTTTGAATGTTTTTTTGTTATTTTTCCAACTTTAGGTAACAAAGAAAGACAAACTTTTTTAAATAATTCTTTTATTTACAGACTAATACACATTTTACGCTAAAATAAATTACAGTAAGCCTAAAAAAACCATTTACAAAAAACTTTGAGGTTTGTTGATGTTTAAACTAGCAGGTAGATACCGTATAACCGCATTAAATTTGTTATCATTGGCAATGAAATGGGCCGCATTTTCGTGATTCCACTTGATTGGATCTTGTTTTAGCCGGTTATCGTATGGGTGTGGTAGATTTTGGTTGATGCCTTTGTTTGGTGGACTTTTGTGGGGAACGTCGTCACGGATCTGAAAAATGATGTAATAGAATTGAAAAGTAAAAAAATGATATTAAAAAAGTCAGTTTGTGGTCAAATCGACTGCAACAAGAAAAACGGATAGAGGTGTGTTAAGTAATAGGACGATTGTAAGGTGAGGAAGGTCAAAAAATTAAAAAAATTAATTGTTTTGGCAACGTCTACTTACTTCAGCATGAAACTGCACAATTCCTGGGTTGTCTTTGTACAAATCACATGTATATTTGACTAATCCGTTATAACCAGACTGGCCTAGACCCAGTCGAACCCAATCTTGAGTTTCGTTTTGGTAATAACATCCTGTAAAGTTCAAAGATTTGTATAAACTAACCTTAATTACTTAAAATAACATTATTTTAAAAAATATGTATTGATAAAAATAAGCATAATAAAAATAAAAAGTAAACAAATCTAAAGTCTACTACAATATAATACATTAAATATTAAGGTATATAATACATTAAATATTAAAGTAAGAGATGATTGAACAATAATTGCTTACCTTTAACCCAAGTGCCGGATTCTAGACAGATTCTGTCAAAGATGCCATCGCGGAACTTTTCACCCACTCGCTTAACTACAGTACCATTAATCAGGCATTTTGGCTCTTAAAAATGTCAAAAATTAAATGTTTGCATTTTTTTTAGTTTTAAAAAGTTTAAATTTTCGTACCTTGTTCATACTTTATCCGAATTTGGTTAGCATCACAAGAATGCCAAAATTCGTTAACAGTCTGATTGCTGCCTACTGGAATTACTTGGTTCGAGTCTGGCAACATACAGCCTGTAAAGTCGGCTGGTCCCCTAAAAATTTTTGTACAAAATATGCAAATTTATAAATTTTAAAATTTTATATTTTTCAAATGAACCAGAAATTTTGAATGCAACTGACCCATCATTTCTATTGCATCTGAACGCCCATACAAATTCATCTACCCAGCCATCACCTTGTTGCCTACACCCACCGTACCAGTCGCGACAGTGACAGTCTTCTGTAATCAAAAACATTTTTTAAAATCAACTTTTTCAAGTACCAAAAAGGCCAAAAAACACACCTGGTAACAAGTCCTTCGCTCCAACTGTAGCCACCAACGTCACCAATATGACTCGACTCAACATGTTCGGATGAGTTCGACTGAAGAGGCAAAACATTCGCCACGGATCCCAAGTCATAAGTCTCGTTTCGGAGGAAAGACGACCAAACTGGTTATTACGCCGTGTGTTTCTTTTTCTGATGCCATTCACATCTATCATTGTTGGTAATTGTTGATTATATCATCGGTGTAGCAAAGTTTATGAAAAAATACGGAAGTCGTACTTATAATATTCTTTTTCTAATAATTGACAGAGTATGAGTTATATACCCAAATGTCTGTCCTACACCACATCGTATTAAGTTTTGTACTGTTTATTAAAATATTAACAACATTTGAACCGTTTTTACAACAAAATATAAAGCAAAATAAGCGAAAACCATGTAGTATTGGCACTTAAAAATATATTGTGACAAGAATGAAGGTTTCATCGAACAAATGTTTCCGAGATTCTGATACTAATGCATAAGATAAACTGTAAGGTATTCAAAAAAGTAGTTGTTTTGAATTAAGACCCGAATGCACAAGATGAATACAATTGAAGGCAGCTCTGAGATTTGGTAAGTAAATTACAGGACGGTAAAAAAGTTTACTACAGTATGGTACTTCAAAATATTTGGCTTTTTTTAAATAATATAAGGTAATTGCTATTACAACAAAACGCTTTTTGTTGTAGTTAAGATTCTGACAAAAAACTGTCAGATTGCAAAATCAGTAAATATTTTAGACTGCCAAAAGTATATATTATATTAAAAAAGCAAAAACACAATTTTGCTTTAAAATTGTACAGGCCGGTCGTCCCGTAAACCTGGAGGCTTACTTTCATCCCCTTGTACCACTGACTTTAAGACACATTGAACTTGACGTTCTCCACTCTCCAACAACGGTTGCATTGAAGACGAGTTGTGTGCTACGTTGATACTACCATTTGAAGTCAATGTAGCTTGTCCAGAAGAGCCATTGCGAATCTCGCCCAACGGCATTCGCTGACCATTCGCTTGGTCATTGGTTGGAACGTAGGTTCGCTCGGTTTCGAAACGAACTCTTTGGTTGAAACTAAAAAGAAACAAGATGAATAGTGGTAGAATTTGTAATAATTTTGTAAAAAAATATTAAATTAGGTCATAAACTTACAGTTTGTTAAAGGAAAATGGCATTTTGGCCAGCTCCCTCTTGATGGCTCCCTGGATCTCCGCGTTTAAAAAACAGTACAGAACAGCAATGAAAATACCCTGAAAAATAAATTCATAGCATATATATATAAAAAAACAAATTTAAAAAAAATTTTGTACGTTTCACATTTTATATTGCTCAAATTTAAAAAAACTATATTACACATGTGATCCTACCTGTGAATGCTGTAATATAGCAGACCCCAACATGTAGATTGCCCCAGGGGTGTTTGGTTCGTAAAACAACGGTATATTAGACACACCAAGCAATGGTACCAACAAAATAGTTGCTTTTACAGCTTTCCAAATCTTCTTCGACTCCTGAGCACTTTCTGTTCGTAATTTCTGCACCAATATTACAATTATAGCTAATAACACAACCAAATTTAAGAGTAGAGCGGCACCCATCGTACCACCTAGAATCCACAGGTGACGACCTTGGGCGTACGGTAGCCAACAGTAAGAATGAGGTATTTTTGAGGTTATGTTTGAGTGGATAAAGGTCCATATCATCACCACAACAAATGGAATACCTAAATTTTAAAATTTTACATAAGATAATATTTTTTTATCTATAAAAACCATAAATTACCATAGTTTCATTATATGTTTTTGAACTTGTAAATAGTGAAAGTTTAAAAACAACCTACCCCATCCAGTAAGCAAGAAAACGGCATACGGTGCTTCACCGTACCTCATGGCAAGTACAGTAAATCTGCTGTACAGATATATGCCTTCAATTAACATCCACATAACTGATGCCACTTGGAAGTATATTACAAACCATATTACCATTTTACATAGCCATTCCTGAATATGAACAACATTATTTTATAATAAAACGTTTTTAAAAATTATTAGATGCCGACATAAAGAACCCTCCATACTTTGCCTGTAATTTCCTGTAAAAAATGGCGGGTTCTTTATGTCGGAACCTAATACATTCTCTTCCCTCCACATACCTAACTTGACTTTCTGATACTAACTACTGCAAAAAAATTTAAAAGTTGAAAACATACCAAGCCCTTTATAGGTTGTGGAACATATTGGTTACAGTCATGAAACGCGTTTGTTGAGTTTAATATCGTCCATACTGCCAATACCGCAAACCGAAAAACGAAAGCCAAGGCCAAGTTTTTGTGAATTTGTAACCGTCGGCATTGAATCGAGTCAAAAATTGAAAATAATACTAGAGCTGCTACGAGCAATGCCACCGAGATCACTGATAATGTTAAGGACACGTTTATTACCGTCTCGCGAAGCGGGTCTGGGCACTGAAATTAGGTAAAATGTTGGTTTAAACCCAAAAACATATTATAACCTCCATTTGGTAATTTTCAAAAAAAGTCTTAATTTACCCTAGTCATAAAAAACATTTGTTGATCTTCAAAAAAAACTTACAGTTTGACAATACCCAGCGACGCAGCGTCGATGCCGTTCCAAAACTTCGATGCACTGTGAATAGACCGAATCGTTCCACACGCCGTTCTCCTGACACACTCGGCTCACTTTGTATTCGCTAGCGATGATGTCACAGCCGGGTATGGATTTGCAGAATTGGAACGGACAATCGCGATAACCGGTAGAGCCTGCACTCACGTTGTACCAGCATAACGATTTGTCAAAGTGGGGCAGACAGCGCTTTTCGGCACTGAAAGTTTATGTTTAGACATAGTTAGTGAAACAATGAGATTTTTTTTAAAAAGTATCAAAAAAAATTTTAAATATCAGGTTAAACCAATAGTAACGAAACAATTCTCAGTTGAAAAGTGAATGAAAATTGACCCGATACTGTCGGTTCAACCTAATAATTTAAAATCCGTTTTGTCGTCCACCGTAAAAGTCATCGTCCCCTCCACTTACCTTGGCAGCCGTGTGTAGACATTGTTGTGATAATCGGCGTATGCACTACATGTAGCGTTTTCACGTAGTAAAAACGACATAAAACGCGTGAAGTTTCACGTCACTGTAAATAAAAATCCAACTAATTTGCAGTATGTGGGGTTCTATTTTTGGGGGGTGGCCGCGGACGCGTTGGAAACAAAAGAAAATTCGGAAAAAACACGCCACAAATTTGCTGCTCGGAATCTCGGGCCCATTTCTCAAAACCAGAGTTCGGCTTCGGGCCCTTCGGGGAATTCAGGGTGAATATCGCGAACGAATACTTCGCCTCAATAGTGGACGTTTGAGTTATGTTAAACTTTTTGGCTCGAAAATAGACTTTTGGAGCGGAAGATTAGGTTGGAGTAGGTAACGACGACCAGAGTTCAAAAAAATTTTGTAAAAATTTAAATTAAAAAAATTAAGAAATAGAGAAAAATAGGCTTATCTTCATTGTTAAAAGTTTTATACTTACTCCCACTTCTTTTTCCATCCCCCCCCTTCCTGGCTCTCCTTATACGAAAATGCCCAAGCAAAAAAAATATTTTGAAAACCATTGCCAAAACCCCCATTTTCTGGTTTACTCCATCAACAACAACATGAACCAGCCTCATGTAATATTAAAATTATTGGCGTTTAATAACAAATGGATAATTCGCAAAAAGTAACACATACTAACAATAACAATTGAATTCTATTGCAAAAAACACAATAAAAAGAGCAAAGAATTACAATCGTATGCGACAATTTTTACTCTGCTAGACTCCTTGACATACTAAATACAACGTAATAGAAAATTAAAAATACGATAATTTTGAGAGTAATATCGTCACGTGGGCTTGTAACGAAAAGATTGGGGTAAAGTATAAATTACTGGTAACTAACCCTAAGCCTAAGTCTAATAAGCTTGATTAATAATAAGAGTACGTCTATTGTTTAAAATTAACATATAACTATTGACTAATGTTTGAATAAACTTAACAATCATAATAATACAATGTTTAAGTATGTTAAAGCGGCTATTCTTAGTAAAACATTGTAAAAAATGGTTCTAATAGACCTTTTTTAAACACGAAAATGACAATAAAACTATTAAAAAGTGTTTAACAAGTCCAAAAAAGCATAACAAAAGTTGGCAAAAAGTTGGAAAAACGGTGACCTATGGCCCTCTGGCGAATTCCTGAGGGTTCGTTTCGGTTTTCAAAGTACAAAGTTATTTTACAACTTTCATAGATCGCAAAGTAAAAAATGAGTTAGCAGAAAGGGTAAAAAAATTACTGTGGTATCTCTACGCTTAACTTAAATAATCTAACTATGCTTGTTAAAGTGCAATATTAAGGTTAAGGACATGTAGAAATAATATAAATGAAGCTAAAAAGTGGTAAGTGAAGAATAAGATTTAAAAGTAGAAGCTAAATAAGTTTTCTGACTTTCAAAAAAATATTTAGTATGTATCGCCATAATATTATACAAAGGTATTCTTTTCGTAAGATCATACAAACAGGCATAGTACATGCCTACACAAACATTTCTAAAGCAAAACGTGTTTATGTTATGTTTTCTAAAAAAAATGTCCATAATTGTTATTAAACTTGCTTGTCCTTGGCGTTCAAAAACCTGGATATTAATACATTACATACATCACTGCACTATTTGTAAATAGCTTATTCACGGTAAAAGTAGAGGAAAGGGCGTCAAAGTGCTTTATTAAAAGCCAGAAAAACGATACATAAAGTTTGTTAGGACATTATTATAAGACTTTACTGATAAATACAAAACCAAAATTTTTTTTAATTACTATTTAATTTTGCAATGTAAAAACCTATACTGTATCAATATTACGACTATGTGCTATATACTAACTATACAAAAAAATGAACGCTTGTAATTCAAATAAAATAAAGTACTACATATACTTATCACTGTTAATTGTTGTAGTAAATATAATAGTACTTGCTCTATAAACAACCCTACGTCGCATACATTGCTCTATAAACACAACTATAAAAAAATATCACGACTATAAACTGCACATCAAGAAAACAAAACACAACAAGTTGACATGCCCAAATTAAAGATTGTTTTGAAATTCGCAGAAAACTCTGATAAATTCAAAAAGCATGGCATAAAAATAATCAAAAAGTTGAAAAAGTTGACAAAACAACGAAAAATGTTAAAAACTTGACAATACATTTGACGCTTCAATAATTCGACGGATTTCGAAGGGAAGTCGTGTAAGACCTGGGACAAACGTCTTAATCAGTGGGTGTAAAAGAAACTTATAATCAACCATACTGAACGCACTTTAATTTACACGTTCTAAAATGTTTTCATAAAACGATGAACAAGATTTCAGAAACCTTAATTTTAGTCTTGTGTAAATATATGAGTATGCAACATGGTTATGAACAAGCAGGGCAAATATTCTAGGTTTAAGAAGGTTAAGCTTAATGAACTGAAGCTGAGAAACTTTAGGCTTACTAGACGTAGACTTGCTAAGCTTTGTATAGTAACTAACGACAGTATATTACAGAATAATGCTCATTAATGCTCATTAAACACATCGAAGTTGGCCTATGAAAAAGTGGTGTATTGGATAAGATCTTAAGTTTGGTTTACGCTTAACGTTAAGCTCAAGCTGTTCAAGCTTAAGGCCTCAAGCTGCTCAAACTTAAGGTTAAAGACAGTAAGTTAAAAAAAAGTATTATATTATATTACAGCTATTATAAAGTTATATACTCATAAAATAACACACGTAAAAATTTATCCCTCGGAGAAATTTGACGTGAAATCCCAGCACTCGCAGTCATTTGTTGGGTTGTTTTACATCGAGGCAAGTATTATATAAATCAGTAATATTACATAAGAAAAAGTTGCGCAATACCATTTCTTCCAATTTCTCTAAGGCTATGTAGTTACATGTTCATATTAGGCAACACCGTACAATAAACATCCTTGTGTAATAAAGAGTTTCTTTGAGAAATACGCTAGTAAAACCCACTAGCGACATTAATCATGTTTCTATACCCAGAAATGTTTTAGGTTTTTAATAAACGTTAAACCGAACTTTGCTTTTGAACTAATAACAAAAAGTGCACCCCATCTTTATCGCATCTGAATGCACTTACTATTTTTGCCTTTAAACAATCCAAAAATATAATATACGTTTTATAAGTAATGGCTTTGTAGACAAATGCATCACAGCATAAGATAGTTAAAAACCAATCTTAAAAAAGCTTAAAATAAACATAATATTCAACAGTTTAACGTATTTAAAGCGCCAATGACAATATAAAACCAAAGTATTTCATGGACATGTAAAATTAACATAGCCATGAATGTGATTATGACATTCAAAGCTAAACATAGCCATGAATGTTAATATGACAGTCACAGCCAAACATAGTCATATATTTTATTATGGCATTCAAAGTTTTGCCTATGCTATTAGCCACATTTCTCTGACTACTATAAGTTAATTTTCTGGAGGCGTTTTTATAGGGTAATACCATTAAGATTGCTCAGATACGGTACGCAAAACCATTAATTTTATTAGATCTAAAGCAGTTTCAGCATTAACAAGAAAGTTAAGTTTTTGCGGTACTAATACCCACCCGAAAAACAACGTCAAAGACATAAAGTTAACAAAAATAACTACAATGTTTACAACTTACAGTAGGTTTCATAAAATCTTTGACAAAAATGTATTTTTAAAGCAATCACTTATGCCTTGTCAAACTCCCCAAGGGCGAAAAAGTGTCTTTGGAGACAAAGGCAGTCCTTTTGACCTCAAAAGAGTGTGTTATAGTTTAATGTGCTTATATATAGTAACAGGGTGATAAAAGTGGCAAGAATTTTTTTCAAAACAATTCCTTACAAAACAAGGAATAATAAAATCTTTTTTTTGCAACAAAAATCCCAGCATTTTCAAAATAAATCAAAAAATTTAAAAAACCAAAATTTTTTCATAATTGCCTAATATTTCAAATTTTAAACCAGTCCATTAACAAAAACCACTCTAACCCCATGGTGACATAATTCAACCGTCCATTATAACGTGACAAACCATAGTTTATAGCCGTTCCTTGCCAATTCCGCTCCGAATTTGGCATTCAAAACGAGAAGAACCCGCAGATCTTAAAGCTCGATAAAACAGAATTTAATAAATTTAGAGGCCCTCAAGAAGCTCCGAATTCATTTCCTCATAAAACAGAAGAGTCAATCCCAACCAAGCACGGTAATTAGAATTTTCAAAGCTAAAAATTGCGCCTTAAAAAGAATGACGATTTTGAAGTTTTTTAAAAATTTAAATAGTTTCACTCCATAAAATACGAATAAAAACATTTTTTAAGCATACAGACGTAGATTTAAACGTATAAAAACAAGCCAACTTAATTAAAAAGCACAAGCCTAAACCGGAAGTTTCGTTGTTATTAGTACTTTTGTTTTTCCTAAAGTCAAAACGATAAGAAAACTGATACTTTGACGCCTACATATAACAAAACCAGTCATAGCATGCTTTAGGCAATAATAATTCTTATAGTAAAACGAATTATGTAAATTAATAATCTGACACTGTCGTCTAACTTAATACATTCTTAATACGAACCGATAACAATGTAGGCCTACAAAAAGAATAAGGTTAAAAATTAAGCTTATAAAATAAAAATAATTATAAATTAGAAAGTAAAAAATGCCTATTTATAGCCCGAAATAACTTTGTAAAAGTGAATTTCCCTCATGGCACTTGAAACTTCGTCTCTTCAATTAACCAAATTAAGGACGACAGGAAATAAAGGCAGGAGTAAGAGTATACAAAGAATGAAAGAAAGGGCAAGGCAAAATAGTACAGGATAGATCGAAGAGTGCTGAAGATGGTTGAGAAAGTGATAACACTAAAAAAGAATTTTATAGTTAAAAGGTCAAATGACGTCGTTAAAAATAAAATAAGTACGCCAAAACTCGCGTAGACCTTCTACAAAAGAGCTAAAAAACTATTTTCTTTATTTCCAAAATTTACTCATAACATTGTAACGATGTAAAACTACATACCTTTTACTAA